ACTGAAACTGTTGGATTTAAGAAGACGAGTAGTTTATAGATGGGTGATTTTAATCCAGTAACGAGCGGTGTACGAAAGGGTCACCTTTTTCGAACCAGCAGCAAAATCCGTCGTCTTGGGAACCGGAAGGAATCGGTAAACTAAGGGTTTCTCTTTCGAGTAACGACGAATTACGTTTCTTCTCAAGTATAATCCAGTAATCTGATTAAATACATTTTAACCGAGACTAATTGCGGTCAATGACCTTTCTCGAGTAACGTGAACACAATCTGTGCCCAGAGCCAATCATGTGTTACGCAATCAGCCAATAAGAACGGCGAAGAAGAGATTCCCACGTAAGCGGCATGAAGCCACGCATTGCGTTTTCTTGAGGCTGTCGGCGACTGTACGGCGAGCAAGTGTCCCAAAACGCGCGCTCCCATCGGTTGAGGTGGTCGGGAAACAGAAGCACGTCGCGAGTGCACGGAGCAGACGAACGCGCACGTCGTATGGCGAACATTAGTCCGCGATTGAACGTCGGTCGATTTCCAGCCTGAACACTCGTGGAAATCGACCGTACCGCCTTTTGAGAACTTTTTCACCGGAAAATGACGTCTGCGAGGTGACACCATATACGAACTATTGTTTCACAAGCTTTAGCCATTCTGAACACACACACACACACACACACACGCACACGCGCACGCACGCACGCACACACGCACAAACAAACAAAAAAACACTGCGTTTTGGAGAGTTAGTTTGCAATATGGCCATAGCGTTTTTTAGGGCAAACAAATGAATTAACCATATACGGCGCCGGCGAATCTCGACGGTGTTTTCACATAAAGTCAATCCGCCATTTTCTTGTTACAGTGAGTAAATAAAAAAAATTATTCCTTTATAAAAAAAAAAAAAAAAAGAAGAAGAAAGGAGTGATGAAAACTTGTAAGCTTTTGCGCACTCCCGATTTGAGCGTGTCGTGCGAATCTTGGGAAAGACACGCCTTCAGCACGCGCTGCAGAGATCCCATAACACCAAAATGGCGGACGAAATTACGTCAGTGAAAAGAACCACCCTATATGGAGCTAAAACGGACCACCCGCTCGCGCCATGCTCAGTCTTACTACAGTCTTACAGCGTAGACTGTTTTATGTGGAAGCATATTATCAGGAGAGAGGGAGAGAAAGCGTTGTGAATGTAGATGTTGGGAGGGGGGGGGGGGGGATAGGGTGTATGCGCAGTGGGCGCTTTTGTCACTGGCTCTATATTATCAGGTTCGTCAGTGGCCGAGCTAACTCCGTAGGTTGCACCGATTGGCTCTCCCTCACCCGGAAAATATCAACGCACCAGATTTTTTTACGTGTGAACATAAGCGAGCGACACTCTGCGTTCCATAACAGTGACCCCTGCAGTGGTGGTGACAACTGACGAGACGTTCGCGGCTCTTGGTACCGTTCTCCTCTTGAAAGAAATAAACGCCGCCGATTCAGGAAGGCCCTGCATTTTTCTCTTTTTTTTGTTTTTGTTTTCTTGTTTACAAAAAAAAAAAAAAAGAAAAAAAAAAGTGGAATGAATAAAAAAAAAAAAAAAAAAGAAAAGCGAAAGTAGAGTGGCGCCATCGCGTGAGAAGTGTCGACGTTCCGGGTCAGCGCTATCTACCTGAGAGGAATTCTCTCCTTTCGCGTGCACGCGATGGATAATGTCAGGGGCAGAGACAGTCCCCTGGTCGTCCGCTTTTCAGCACCGTCCGATTTGGTTGCCTGTGAACCGAGTTGCGTAACTACAAAGAGTATGGCCGTTCGTAAAAGGGACTTTTTCTTTAAAGAGGAGGATATATAAAAAAATAAATAAATAAAGAATGTGGTCGTAGGGACACTGCGCGTCGAGCTTCTAGCTGCATCTTGCACATCTTGCCAAAACGAGTGCTGGAGGACCCCCAAATTTAATTAAAACTAACTTAAAAAAAAGAAAAAGCTGTGAAAGGTGTAAATTAAAGAGAAGCTGAAGATATCCTTTTAAATTCGAACAAAGAGTAAAAGTTGTAACGTACATATCTTAATAGTTAAGTGTCTTAAGTTTTATTTCGATCTTATTAGTAGGAGCGTCGAAATGGCCAATTAAAATTTCGAGGTATAGCTTCCGGTAGGAAGGGTAGGTTAAGAAAGCGCGAAGGCGGAGAGAAAAACCAGCAAAAGTGCCGTCATCAGCGGGGTCAGATGACCTTCGCTCGCCACTAAAAACCTGGCTCGGGATGTGATCTCCCTAAACACCCCCTCCCCCCCCCCCCTAAAAAACATGTAGACCCCCCCCCCCCCCTTCAATTTCGATTCCTGGGGAAAGATTTGGGCTCGGGGACGCCGTCAATGACGTCACGACGCTCTGGACAGATAACAGGCGCCAGAGAGGATCGCCGGATGAACCGGCGGCGATCGCTGCAGGTATTTTTTAAAATAAATGCGTTTTACGTTTACTTCCAAGTGCGATCACTGAATTCACGGGGGAAAGGCGATAGAAGTCCGCTCCTGACTCAGATTCCTGGAAAAATGCTTCCCTTTAATGCGGTCTGTGCAGGTGAGTTATACGGCCGAGGAGGGGGACATGATACAGGTGTCTGATCGCCACGATAAGTCGAATGATTACTTAAGATTTGTGCATACGGTTCCACTTAGAAACTTGATCCGTCGACTTGAGAAGGACTCAAAGCACGTGGTAAGCTCGGAGGACCGGTAAAGTTACCGCTTGTGCTCAGACGCAAGGCTGGCGGCGCAAACATGCGGACGATAAGATCATCATCCGCCGGCCTTGCCCCTGTTGCACTTTAGCGCATCCCCACGCTTCCCGTCAAACGTCGCGCGTCTCTTGTTGAGGCGCGCGTTCACTCGACACTGGGTTCCGATCGATGGCTTCTGCAGCACTCGTGTTCCACGAAAACTCAGTGTTTTATAGGTAACATGCCTGACGTCCCTGCCAAAAATGTGTGCGCTGACCAGGCGCGCGAGCGGTCGGATCGGCAGTCAGCAAGCAACACTACTAGCGTCTCCATTGTCTGCGGACAAAAGGTGACTGAACCGTCGTTCGAACCGTCGGAGCCGAACAAAGGGGAAGGGGGCTGTTTAGGCTTCGTTCGGGGTCCACGGGCGTCCTTCGAACCGAAAGGGTACCGGTTCACCGGGCACATCCCGGCCGGTGCTTCCCGGTCAGGCACCGGAGCGTCGCGGGTAAGCCCAGCTCCTTTCAGCTGAAAGATGCGGACCAATTTTTTCGAGATGAGCTTCCGGGCGAGTGTGATCGGTTCTTGTTTCACAACACTGATCTTTGTTGGATCGATGGCTTGTGGATGTTTAGGCCGCGCGCGTTGGAGGCTCCGAAAGAGAACCCGACCGGATCCTCCCTGTCTCCACTGCGCGTCACTGCATGCGCACGTGACTCGGAAGAAGGTGGTGTAAGAGTTGAGGGTGGATTGGAGGCCCCCAAAACCTCGATTGTCTGACTTTTTTTCTTTCTAAAGAACTAACGCGCGTAGGCAAGATGTGTTTTCAGTTCTTTAGCTCGCACGTGACTGGGAACAACTAAATAATTATTTGACCCAAGTTCATATATTGTTGCACGGCCCCTTTGAAACCTCTGTTAAAGGAGCCACGAAACTAGTCTTCTACTCTCCCTATATACTACCTGAATCACCCTCTAACGTTAATAACTAAATAAACTTGCCTTATTTTTTTTCCCCCTGGCAGTCACCGGAAAAGTTTCAGAAATATGAGCATCGTTCATCCCCTCACCTCGGAGCCAGAACAAGCGGCCACGTGGCCTGGTGCCTATCCTATGCCGCCAACGTTAATCGTAGCCACAAGCTGGGGTTGTCAAAGTAGACAACGCGTGCTGAACTCCAAGCATTGTTAGAGTTCGGCTCTTCTCATCACCGCAGTGGTTGGACACGAGCCACTACCCAAGACACGAGAACTGCGTGAGCACTCGTCTTCGAATCCATGAGCCGCGCTCGACTGTCGTCGGGCGGGTGCTTTCGATCCCACTGTTACGGCATCAAGCTCTGCGAAGGCAAGACTGGAAGAAACAGTCCCCCTTTATCCTCGCAATTTCACAGCGACAGGGAAGCTTCTGAATCAGTAACGGTTCGTGCGAGAATAATTCGGCCAGACTGGATCAATACGCCTCTGCAAAGTCATGAACTTTCCAACGCGATACCGTTTCATAACCCCTGTCAAGTAAAAGTATGTAACAGATCCCATTAAACTATACTTTCGCTTTAGCCGTTCACTTCCAAGTTGCTGGGGAGCGGGAGCAACTGGCAATTGAGTGCATTTATCTACGAAGGTTGCGTCTTTCAGAGCCATAACACTTCTCCTGCCTGCGATCAACTTTTTGCGAAGGCAGGTACGCATACACAAACGCAAAACACCGGGCATCACCGAGAAAATAATGCCTCGCAAGAGCGTTCTACTCGCCGCAGGACCTACGTCGGTAATGACACGTACGCACCTGCGAGCGCGGCCCAGATTTCGGCGGTCGCAGTTAGGCCTAGTTGTTGCCCTTATGCCTTAGAGACCTACCAGTTTAGATACAACTGTTTACGTTAGAACATGAGAGTTTTGTATTGTTCTATAGTTTCGAGGACCAGACGCCGTAGCTTTGTTGCGCGAACTATTGGGAGGGGAGGTTCAGCCGTCTGGGACGACTTGGCGTTGCGGTTGGGCGAAAGTTAGGCCTAGCACTTGACGTTAGGCATAACTGTGAAGCCCGCGGCGATGCTGCCGCTGTCCCGTTGGCTCGCCAGGGTATTCTTGGAAAAAGTAGAAGGACCTTTTGACCTTCGTAAACTTGATTGCACACCTAAATGGTTCCAAGGAATCGGTCTTCTTTTTTATTTTAGTTCTCGTGACGTATGGGGCAAAAAACGGTTCGTCCGGAGGGGAGTGGCGAGTGGACGGTACTTCTTTTTCTCCTAGTATATGAATTCTTTCTGGCGTTTGTTGCGGCGTAGCCGATTTTTTTGTGTTAAGATGACGGTGAAGGTCTACGTAAGAGGGTTTTCTCTGCCACTCCCAGGCAGGTCGGAGAATTTTTGCGCAGTTGTTTGTATATTGACTGCGGCAGCTTCGGTATTTCCGTCTTTCGGCGTTCGGAGAGACTTGCCCCCATTGTTCTTTTTGTTGTTTTTGTATCCTTCGGCGGCTGGTATGTTTCGGCTTTGAAGATTGGCTTTTGGCGGAGGCAATTGTTCCTCTCAGCGGGTTGCAGGGGACCGCGCCCATGCCTTTACCCCGCCAGCGGTGTTTCGAGGGAGCCTCCTCCCCTCCCCCCCCCCCCCCCATCCCCCTCCCTCCCCCCCTCATCATGAACGGCGTTTTGGGTTGCATCTTTGCCGTATAATTGTTTCCTGCACTAGACTGTTTGGCTGCTGATGGCCCTGATTAGAGGACGCACCCCTGTTGCGAGGCTCATGGTTCTTCGTCTCTCGGAATCGGAGATGTGCTCTGGGTTCGCTTCGGGGCGCTGATGCCCGTGGGACTGAGCTCCCGTCGTAATAGTGATTACGCCAACGAGAAAAGAATAAGCGGATCTCGGTGGAGATATGCCCCATCCGTCAGAAACCATAAATAGCGGCTGCGGATCTTCTGATTTGTTTTCACGTCGTATCACTGACAGAGCGAGACCGGCAGGGCGTGTCTTTCGAACGCCCGGCTTCCAGCACGCGCTCCGTGCCTTCCGCCGTGCTTTGGATGCGGGCGCTCCAAGTGTACGAGACGCCAAAGCATCGTCGAAGATGGTGGACAACCGAAGCACCTTTCCTGCCGTTCCCACCTGTAACTATAGTATTGTCGTTTTGCTTCGTTCGAAAGCGTGGCATGCTTTAGAACGGGAGCACCCTACTTCAAAAAGTTTTTACGTCGGTGCGCTCGCGCATGCCTTGTGGAAGGGCATGTCAGCATAACCGGTTTGGGTATACCGTGACAACATAAGCGAAACAATGTACAGAGGCACTTACTCGGAATTAGACCACTCTTATTCGTCCCCCAACAGGAGTCGAACCCAGAACCTTACCGATTTTCAACCCGATGCTCTACCTCTGCGATGGCTGGACGACCTTCTATGTGCACCGGCTAAGGTGCATGCTCGTCTCTTCCCACTACAGTTGCCACATGCCAATACACTCCCGAGTGCAGAGTGATGTTAAGGACGGTGCTTAAACTCTCCCGTAAGTCGCGGGGGGTCTCTACAAACTGCGGTAAAGAGGGAGGAGAGGTAATATTAGATGCACACAAAACTGACTTGATTAAAACGTACGCGTGACCCGGCATGTTTCTCACGAGACAAAGCCGAACAACAGAGTGGATTCCGATTACTTTTCTCGCCATAGTGTCCCCGAAACATACGCCATTTTGTTTTACACGAAATCGACATGACTACTCACAACATAGTTTTTCTCTCTCTAAAGCCTAAAACAAGGGCACTTTGCACGTGCGTTCATTAGCGCCTTCTTTCGGTTACTTCGAATCTTTGACGCCGATAAAGCGAGCGCGCGGGCAGCGCGTGTACCATACGCTCCTAGCATTCTCCCTGGTGCTGGGTAAATTGGATATTCGCAACTCCAGAGCGGGCGACACCACCCAGCGGCAAAGACGCGACTTTGAGAAACGAAACGCTCGCACCTGTTGAAATGTGCTGCGAAAGCTTCCACAGCCTGGCGGCGAATATGTGATACAAATGAACGAATATTTAATGCGCACCGTTGAAATCGCCGAAGTTTTCGTCTACAAAGGGCGACGAAGGCGCCGCGCTTTTGTCGCAGAATCGGCGCGCTCCGCCAACTTTCGGCTCGAACTTTGTGTTTGACGGTCCCAGACGGTTCATGGTGCGAGGGGGTCCTCGTACCGCGAGGACACTTACCGCGGCAGAAGAACAAAGTTGGCCGCGCTGTACGGCCCGGAAAAGACGGAGGTGGGTGTGGAGGATCAGGTGCACACCTCGCACCGGTCAGGGTCAGGGAGGGGTCAGGGGGGGGGGGGGGGCCCACCGGGGAAGGGGATAAGTGGGGCCTTCCAAAATTAATTGGGGCTGCTCGCTCTCCGGACGTCCGGCACGCGGACACTGAAGGTCCACACTTTAGAGTTTTGTATATGTGTGTGAAGAAAAAAGAAGACCGAAAAGAACAAAAGCAAACTGTGATGTTTCTTTTTTTTTTTTTTTGTATTTTTTCGTCGTTATTTGTGCCTCAGAAAGGTGGGTTTGTAATTTTTTTGTTTTCGTCCGTTCACGGTAATTGTAATGGGGGACGGGCGTAGAAAAATGCAAACGAACGGCCGCAGTCCAATCGTACGCTTTTCGATTTTACTTTCGTCGGGAAGAGGGATTCGTGTAGTCTGTGGCAATCAGTTGGACGAATGACGTTTCATCGACGGTTAGTTTCATCGCAAGGTTCCCGCGACCGTTTCATAAATTCCTGTTTTTTTTTTTTTTTTCTTCCATATTTTTCAAGGAGAGAGGTTAGAGAATTTCAGAAAGTTTTGTGGTGCTCAAGACAAAGTCAGTCGCCTGACAGAGGCACCAAGGCCAGAACACAGACCTTGCGACGTTTCGTCGAAAGCGTCTTTCCGCGCCCTTGGCGGTACCGACGAGGCCTGATCCAAGCTTGGGTCCAAGGCTCTTTTAAAGTTTCCGCGAGCGGAGCGAGGGGTGCCCGCGCGTAGCGCAGACCGTTTGGAAGCCTAGAGTTAGGGCGCGCGAATTTGTTTTTGCCCTGTCGGAGCCCTCTGGCTGCGTCCGCTTTTGTTCCGGTACGCATTCGGTAATCCGATCCCATCCACTTAGTAGAAACAGCGAAATAAATACGCTGTCGACGAGACAGGTTTTCGCGCAACATCGCAGTGTCTACGAAACGCGTGTCCATGAAACGTATGTCCACGAAACATGTTTCGACAAAACAATACCCCCCCCCCCCCCTAAAAAAAAGTTTTTGTTAGTGTTTTTTGAAACAAAAAGCCAGTCTTGTAAAGAAAGGTTTTTAAAATGAGGCCCAAGTAGGTTAGAAAAAAAAAGTATACCTGACTTTCGCAGCGGTGGTGCAAGATGATGTATGGTTTCATCTAGACCTCCGTGGCACATGCAGCATTCCTGAGACCCCGATATATTATTTTTGATATGATACTTTATTGACGAGAAAAATCAACGTGCTTGCAACCTTATCGATTGCTGGGGCAATCGCCGGCGAAACGAGTGCTCCTCAGATGTCGAGTGTACTTTTATAAGGGGGGGGGGGGGAGGGGGAGGGGGAGGGGGAGGGGGAGGGGGAGGAGCGGATCAACGTTGCTGCTTGTTAACCGTGTGGGGATGTAGGGTGTCCAGCCGCAAGGAGTAGAATATCTTTAGAGCGCCGCTTGAATCTCCAGCATCTTTCTTCCAGGACGGAACGCTCTTGGCGTGTTGGCTCTGGAACAAACTGGCTTACACCCTTAAGGGAGTTTTTCTTTTTAGAGCGCAGCTCTTAGGGGCCCGTTCCCGGCTTGAGCGGCGTCGCCGTCGGCGTCGGCGTAACCAAGGTCATCCCAAGGTCACGTGACCCCCAAGGTCACGTGACCCCTCCCAAGGTCATCTCAAGGTCACGTGACCCCCTGAAGGTCACGTGACCCCTCGAGGTCACGTGACCCCTTCCAAGGTCATCTCAAGGTCACGTGACTCCAAGATGACCCCACGTGACCCTTTGAAGGTCACGTGACCCCCAAGTCACGTGACCCCTCTGAGGTCACGTGACCCCCGAGGTCACGTGGTCGCCTCCCCAAGGTCACGTGACCCCCGAGGTCACGTGACCAACAAGGTCACGTGACCCCTTCCAAGGTCAAGGTCACGTGACCCCACGTGACCCCCAGGTCACGTGACCCCTCTGAGGTCACGTGATCCCTCTGAGGTCACGTGACCCCCCGAGGTCACGTGACCCCTCCAGGTCACGTGACCCCAAGGTCACGTGGGGGTCACCTTTGGGGTCACGTGGCCTTGAGGTCACCCCCAGGTCACGCCTCCCCGAGGTCACGTGACCCCCTCCCCGAAGTCACGTGACACCCCCCCCCCCGGAGCATATTAAAGAATGAGGGGAGGAGGAGGAGAAGGGGGAGGGGTCTACCCTCCCCTCAGTACCCTTCACTCCTCCTCCTCAAGAGCTGCGCTCCAATTCGGCGTTACAGGGATTTGTAAACGGCTTTCACTTTTTTTTAGTGTGTACCGCCTTCTTCGGGGTTAAAATGTCTCGGAAGTTCGTCGTTTCACTGGTTCCCGTACGGTGAGCCAAACAGTATGGATAGCGAGGTGTGTCAATAATTCTGCCTTATTTGTAAATATGGGGCTCCTGAGCTTCGCTGCGTCGCCAACCATAGGAAACAGAAAGCACAAGAAACCACCCAAGGAGAGCGTTAGGTCGGGGTGTGGCTGTGCAGCTGTTTGCTTTTTCGTTACATTTCATAGGAACGATGTCTCAGCCAGTTACGGTCGTTTCAGCGAACGTCGTAGAAATCGAATCATCGGAACGAAATCGACAAGCTGGTATCCGACTGTCGCTGGTATCAGGAGACCGGGAGAGGGGTGGGGGACTCCTTTGCACTCTAAAAACAAGTATGTGCTTCTACTTTCCCGCACAACACTCGGAGAGCCGATCACCGCAACTTACGGAAGCAGCTCAGCGAATGACGATGCCGAAACATATGTTTAGACCAAAAAAGGCTGTCTGAGTTGTGACATTAAGCAATGCAAAACGTCACGCTTGCATTGCTTAATGCCACAACTCAGTCTGCGTTTTTTGGTCTAAACAGATGTTTCGGCATCGTCATTCGCTGAGCTGCCTCCGTAAGTTGCGCTGATTGATTCTCTGAGTGTTGTGCGTGAAAGTAGACGCACAGGCTTTTTTTAGAGTGTGGCGTCCAGATAGTTTTATTTTTTCGAGACCTCCCAACTGCAAGGTTTCTTTAAAAGTAATTGGATAAAAAGAACACTCATCACTCTTCCCTACACCAGTGCTTCCCACACTGCCCTGCACAAAGAGAAAAAGGAGAAAAAAGTGGGTTGCAGTTTTTGTAAGTGTGGCGAAGTCTTTTCGAATCGTCGCAGCGTCGCTTCGTCTTCTCACTTGCCTTTTCCTTTTTCTTTTGTTGTTGGTGATAGCTTTTCTGCAGATGGCGAACCCCATTCTCCGACTGTGCCACGCCATGCGAGCGGAAACTGACTTTCGCTAGCGACGCTCGCAAAAGCTAGTTTCCGTAAAAATGCAATTCTAAAAAAATAAAAATAAAAAAAAATAAATAAATAAAGGAGCGAGAAAAAAAGGCTCCGATTTGAGGTCGCATACCGATACACCTCCATTAACAGCAACGCGTTCCAGAACCGCGTCGCCGTTCCATTTAGCGAACACGGAGTACGAAGGTCCCCCCTGGACGGACGCCATGTTTTTGGAAGGGACCGTGAAACCGCCGGTCCGAGTCGGTTCTCACGCCGCGCGCGTGCTGGCGTTTCGAATGGGCCTTTCCCCCTTCCTGGAGAGCTGCGCCTGAGCCGTCTTCCACGCTCCGCACACACAGCGCCGTCAGAGCTTGGTCCGAGGGAGGTCAAAGTTGAGGCAGGTGCATCGGGGAGGTGCCTTCGCCAGGACACACCGCACGGCACCTGACGCCGCGTCTTTTGAATTCGTCGTGGTTTTAATGGTTCTTTAAAGTTTGCTTTCTGTCCTCTTCGCTGCGTATGTATACATGCTCCACGGCAGCAGGGTCAGGTGATGAATGGGAGGCGGCTGATAGGCCCGGCGAGCACGTAGCTGCCACCGCACTGTCAGCTTACATAGGAGTGCGTGGCGTTCGTGTGTCGTGTATCTTTGGCCGGCGTCGGCTGGAAGTGATTGACCCGGATCGGGTACGATGCTTCGCGGCTTTGATGTCTCTACTTCTTGGGGGTCTTTAAAGTCGTATAAAAAGGGCTCAAAGAAGGAAAGTGGGTAAGACGGAGGTCGATGTGGGTGACCCTCTTCAGGTTATTTTGGATCGGGTTTCTTAGCGGAGAATCTGGTATGGATGACCTGGGTGACCTGGCAAGGAGATTCTAGAGAGACCGGGGAAAAACCATCGCGGTAAAAAAGCAAAATTTAATAATGAAGACCGGAGAGATTGGTGCCGAGTTTGGAATGGCGGTTCAAGAACCGGCCCGTGCCGAAAAGAAACTCGTATTTTGCTCGCAAAGAAAGACAACGTTAGGTACACTCTCGTAAGCGTAAAAATAGCCTGTATACTTACTATTAATAAAACCTGGATACGTGCTCAAAACAGTCGGTGAACCGCGGTTTTTCTTGTTTTCTTTAGTTGTAAACGTTTGAATTGCACGCTCATCATTACCTTTCCCCGATTATGCCTACAGGCAGATACGTACCTTTAGACTTTTTTTAAACAAATATACCATGAAATATATATTTTAGAATTATACTTCAAGTTAGATCTCAAACGTAAAAAAAAAAGACTTCTAACCTCTTTAAAATACAAGGTGCTTTTTGTTTGTTTGTTATAAAATGCAAAATATAAAAAAAAAAAAAAAAAAAAAAACGGCGGAACGTACACAAATGCGGTCTGCGCGAGTTATACTGCCAGGTGGTCATTATGTTCAAGAGAAAATGCAACTAAAAGATAAGTAATTAACAAAAGTTAACTATCAGACGTTTTAGAACACAAGTGACAATTAATGTTAAAAGCCAACCCATTTTTCTTTTTCCTAAGTCGCGGTTTGATTACGCAGGTTGAGTTATTCATTGTCCCATTTTGTTTTGGAAATCGGTCGTTACCGAAGTTAAACGCCCGATGCCCGCCGGAAGGACAACCCTCGTTTGACGCCGCGGAGGGCCACGTGCTGCTAAGGACGAAATATGCGTCACAGCGCGCCGGAGCTGGTTCCAGTCGGCGCTCCGCGGCTGGCCGCCGTGACAGCTTGCTTTGCTTTGCCGGGCGATATCTCCGAAGGACAAGTAACCCTCCGATGTCAAACGGGGGTTGTCCTTCCGGCGGGCATCGCGCGTTTGGTTTCGCTATCGACGGATTTCCAGAACAAAATTTGACAACGAATAATACCAGACAGACCCTTTCCGAAATTCAGTGCCATCTGGTGGCTGAAATGGCGGTTTAACTTTTGTCATACGAGTGGCGGCAATGAACTTGTAGCCTGCAGTATTTTATCGGGCCCCGTCACTTTTGCATGTCAACGGCAGACGAGAATAAATTTTTCGCTATACAGGTTTTTCTGGATCATCTCTTCCAGTGTCGATTCCCACAATGATGCAACCAGTCAGAACGAAGCGCCTTCCCAGACAGACACCTTGATAAAGTTCTATAAGTCAAGGGGTTTCGAAGTCGATTTTGTGCCACTAACAGGTTCACTGAGCTTGAATTAGAGAAATGAACACTTACGCAGCGCTTGCTTTCAATTCCGGTTTCGCAACGTGCTAACGTCTAGAATGTATAGGCCTCGAATCCTCAGCTTAGGAGTATCTTCAACATGTTCTTTCATCAGTAAATAGAAAGCCGCCATTGGTATGGCACATATGCCATTTTTCAGATGGTGATGATAGTGATCAAAGTGGCCAGACTGAATTTCGGAAAGGGTCTATACCAACTGCGTAATCCAAAAAAAAAGAAAAAAGATTAATTAATATATTTCTTTAGCTGGTTTTGGCGTTGGTGCCACTGCCACTGGCAATACTAACTTGTCGCACGGCAAAAGTTGCGCACATCTGTGGCTTCTATAAACGTCGATACCTTAAAAATAAACTGCCGCGCGAGGTGGAGTGGTAAAGGATGCAATAGGGAAGCTTCAACTGCCCCTCTTCCAATTTTATGCAACCTCTATGGCCCATAACTTTAACTGTTACAAAAACACAACCTCTCCTTCCTCTTTAAACACAAATAGTATGGCCCAAACTGGAAAGCAATTCAGAGGCTTTTGTCGTGACCCGAAATTACAACAACATGTCGTCCTGAACCTTGACGAGATTAATCGCTAAGACCCCTTTTGTCAATGATCCGAGATTTGAATGGTAACTGTGGTGGCATTTCCCCGGGACCATTGACCTTGTGCGCTGATTGAGCTCAATTGTAAAATACCGTCTTTATTTAGTTTTTTTAGGGGGGGAGGGGGGGGGGGCCATTGGCACATCAAAATTTGTAGTTTATCGGATAAATCCGAATTCCCAAAATGTTACCGACAAGTGTTTTACGGTTTAAGAAAAAAAGAGACTACTTTGCATATTTGGTCTCCTTTCCTAAAAGGTTATACACTAAAAGTATACCAATTTTGTACTTGTATAAAAAAACTGCCAAAAGCATACTTAAACCATTACCAGACTGGGTAGACTGGAGGATTACACCGCTAAAATGCCAAGTACACTAAAGGTATATTAAAATTAGGCCTCACATTTAAAAAAAATACTAATATAAACTTTAACTGCCCTTCTGTGTTTCACAGTAGTACAAAATGAGTATACTTTTAGTGTATCACATTTTACCAAGGGGCGTGTTAGTATAATTGAAAGCCATGGCCATCAGCACGTTCGAGAGAAATATTTCTCAGCACACATTTACGAGTGTACTTTTTGTTGCTCGCAGCTCCCGTTCGCGGTGGTGGGCACGCTGAACGGCGTCCACCTTTTCTCTCGATTGCGAGGTGCCACCCTGCACAGCACGGTCACCAGGGGTGCCAAGGTGGTGTGGAGGACATACCACGACAGGTACTGGTGTTTCTCCCTTTGTACTCCTGTTGGATGCAGGGGTTGAGGCTTCCGAGAGAAGAATCAATATACAGGGTGTCACAAAAGAAAATTTACACGGTCTTTTTAACCGCTAAAATAAACTAAGCATCGCCGAACGCTCATTCTCCGCCCAAAGGTAGAGCTAGAGGTCACAACCAGATGCCAAAGTGTCAGCCCGATATGATAACTTAATCAAAAGTTATAAGTGATTTTCTGAAAATTTCAATGGGAAAATGGCGGCCGACGGAGTTTTCAAACATATGGGGCTCTATGGTATCAGAAACCGAAAACGGGCAAAATGGGGCTCCATTTTCCCATTGGAATCTTCAGAAAATCACTTATAACTTTTGATTAAGGTATCGGATCGGGCTGACACTTTGGCATCTGGTTGTGACCTCTAGCTCTACCTTTGGGCGGAGAATGAGCGTTTGGCGATGCCTAGTTTATTTGTGCGGTTAAAAAGACCGTGTAAATTTTCATTTGTGACACCCTGTACTTGTTGGCTTTTTTTAATTACGCCTTAATTTACTCATGTTCAATGTGTGGGTAGTGTTTTCAGGAGTGGAACCATCGATATCCGGGTTGGTTTACGTTATTGCGACACAATTTCCTTCCTTTCTGCTCCTGTCGGAGGTGGGGAAGTGTTTCAAAGTGGGGGATTATCTACATGTGTAGGGTGGCTCACTTCACTGTACCATCATTCACTCCCTTTTTAGTACTGCTAAGTGTGACCTAGTGGTTCCAAGAGGGAAAAAGTTGTGAGACTGATTTTGTAGCGTAAAAAGAAAAAAAAAAGGGCAGCACGGTGAAGCGCGCGCAGCAGTCTAAGGAACGGACCTTCGTGCTAATTGTTATACCAAAGGGCGTCTCTCTGTGGACATTTGGTGCTGCGCTACACAAGTTTTCGTGATCAAGTGCACGGGCACTATGATGATTTCACTATAGACTGTAAATTAGAGTAAGAGCGAACATCGATTCTGCGTCATACTGGGCACATAAAAAAGAGACTTTTGAAATGATTCAGCAGGCTTGTGTCATAAGGCAGTGAATTTTGCGAAGTGTTTTAAGTGGCACTGGCGCTTCAGGAACGGCAGAACATTGCTGGAAGACGAAGGGCGGTATAGGGCGACCTTATCCGACCTCTCCTTGACTTCAGTGACACTCTGCCGTTCTTGAGGCACGAGTGCCACTCAGAACACCTTGCACTCCTCACTGCTTTTTGACATAAGCCTTCTAAATTTCAGAGGTCTCTGTTTTAGGTTTGTAGAGTTTGATGTGGTCAAACAAACTCTTTCAGCGCAGTTCCCAATGTTCACAGAGCGATGCCCTTTGCAGTGGTGGAACTGCCTGCGCCAATTGTGCCAAACTGCGCCAGAACGAATAACCTGCTACATGCTGCCCCAAAGGCTGTATTTGTACATAATTTGCGCCATGTCTGCGCCTGAAAGGAGCTGTTCCCGAGAAGGAAATTCACGTGACATTGTTGGTGACGCCACTGAAAATTAAGAAAGTACAGATATTTTTTTATGCTAAGTACTATGTGCGAAGAGTAAGGCTGCGCGAATATACTAATTTTCTAATAGTAGTTTTACATAATACGTTATTTGATATTCGCTCGGGTTAGCCCCCTTGAGTGCGCTTCTCCTCAAGCACAGATGCACTGTGGAGAAGCAATACCCGCGGAGCGGACACAGCGATCACGCGACTCACTTCGCCGCAGCGCAGCCTCGCGCTTAGGCGAAAAACACACCTTCAAACTAGTATAGTGCACGCGCGCGCCTAATGTATTTAAAAAAAAAAAAAAAAAAAAGACAGGGAATTTTGTGATTGTTGAAATTACATTGCAGTAAAATTTTCAAAATTTAACTGTGGCTATTATGCAAGGATAAATGTTAGGCAGCGATGTTCTAGGTACCTATGTTCATCATTTGTGTGCTTGTTTCTTTTTAAATTCAGAATCGAAGAAAATATTTTCATATGGGAAGAAGATTTATAAATCCTTTCAATTAGGTATGGCTGGGCTTCTTTATAGGTTTAGTTTTATGTCCAATCTGTCATTTATTTGAAATTCCAATGTGGGTACTGGACCTTCTGAGGCTACAGTCTATAAATATAGCTAGATTAAATTGAACTGAGCTCATCAATGGACAATTAGGAACAGCCTTCGTAAGTCCAGCTGAATTTTGTTTAAGCATGGTGTAACAGTAGTAAAAAGCATGGAGAAAGGCACAAAAACGTTTCAATATTTAATAAAAACATATTCGGCCAAAACCACTATTCACTTTGAATTTGCTTTGAACCCAAAATGCATTATTTGCACATGCCTAACGAAGAGTTATCAGTTTTTGTGCGAATGGTGCTCACATCGATCGCAGTGAATAGCTAGCACTACTCGTGATCGGTTAGAGTAGCTATGTGCTAAAACTGTCCGTTCAATGTCAAACTCATGGAAATTACGTCACCGTGATACAAACTTTCTACAAAATAGCCAAAAACATATTTTTACGTCCAACACAGATTTCAAACGCCATCGGTACTCCTAATAGGTTAATTGAGAAATCTACAAGATTGCCGGCGTATGATTTTTCAATAAATAAATAAATATTTGTACAGGCCAGGTCTTCTGTATGCATAACGCTCGAGTCTCCCAGCGCTCCAATAACTGCAGTTTTTTCTACGGGCTAACTTTCAAAGAGATTGTATAAAATTTTCTGACATGAAAGCTCAAAATTGTCTGCTCCCAAGCAGGGGAATGTCTGCCCCGAAACCCGTTTTTCCCTGCTACAAGGGCTGCTCCAAATCACCACTTGTCAGTTCCACCACTGCCTTTGGCATAATGACACGGGAAGGTCCCATGCCTTCGACTACTGACCGCGCATCACTGTGCTGCCCTCTCATTTTACGCTACAAAATCAGTCTCGGGACTTTTTGATCACACCTCATACAAAGTTGTTCACTTTATTGCACCATTTACTCGCTTTTTACTCCTGTTGTATGCAGGGTTGCGTGTAGGATGTTTTTTTAATGTATCGGCATTAGAACGCTTGTTTTGACAAAAACCCAATGGTGTCTTTCGTTTGTCATTGTTGGGGAGAGGGGGAGAGGGTGAGAGTGACACATGCGGCGCTCCCATTGGTCCTAAGCGCTGACGTCAGCACACGTCACCCTCTCCCTTTCTCCCCGGCACTGACAAACTGACAGACACCTCCGGGTTTTCGTCAAAAACGAGCGGTTTTGTTTTCTTCAAAGGGGCATGCACAGCTGATGCGTTGCCAAATACGAGGAGACACCGCGGCAAGGCAAAATATGTGCGTACTCAGTTGCCGCTCTGCTGTCACCAATTGTTCTCCGCTCTGGGTTTCCGTAGTAGCGGTGCTTGGGCTGTGATGCGTGTGTGTGTTTTTAAAACGATGGATGCGGTTCCCTCCACGAGTCATATGGCGTCGAGAGTATGTTGACGCCATACGTCGACATACCTGTCAGAGTCCTGTCTGCCTGTCAGAGTATGCGTCGACATACTCTGACAGGCAGAGTAAAGAAAAGGGGTGAAAAAAATTACCGGAAGATTCATTGGTGGATTCTTAGGGAATGCCTTAGCATAACCCTTAGGAAACACCACATGGGAAATGCTAACATTATGGAAAGTGCTAATGCTGTCCCCATAACAAGGCCAAAAAGAGGCAAAATTAAATAAATAGAGCAAGCAAAAGAGAAAGTAAAAAGAGAAAGCCAAAAGAGAAAAGTGAAGGGGTCAGCAGTGGCGTTTCCCAAAGAGGGACGTGTGTGCTGTTTCCCACATTCTAAAGCATTCCCTAAGAATCCACCAAGGGATCTTCTTGTAGTTTTTTTAACCTGCCACGGCTTACTTTCTTTTCACTACTGTTGATTGTGGGATAGTGTTTCTAAGAGAAGGAGCCATCGATATGCAGAGGGCTTCACTTTATCGTGTTGACATTTACTCCTTCTTACCCCAGTTCGACGCTGATCGGAAGGAGGGGGGAGGTAGGGAGGGAGGGGAGTGGAGGGGTTCAAATAGAGGGAACGTGAATTTATGAATTGCATGCAAATCGGTTTTACTCCACAAGTAGAAATATTCTACAGTGATGCAGTTGAGGATGTGTGTGTAGTAATTTAGCCCCGTAGCCTGTTGCCTGCTAAGCCTATTTTTCGCAAAAGTAAAAACATGCATCCTTTATAGGGTGTCCATAATCGACAGCATAAGAAATGGGACTTTAGGGTGGGGGAGCAAAGCTGGGAGCTGAGACATAAGAAAGAGCAAGCTCTGCTGCTATTCAGTTCGCTGTACAAATGCACATTTTTCGAAGTTCTTCAATTAGTTTAGTACACATGCACCTTTCTTCTTCATTATTACACAAAATCGAAGCATGCCAAATATAGTAATATGGAAAAGTGAGCCGAAAAAATGTCTGTGTCAACATAATGTATTGACAGATAGAACCACAGAAAGAGGTCTAAATTTACTCTATGGGAGGTAACAGTTTTATAGTATTTTTTTAAATAAAATGTATTATGTCTTCTTTTCGATTTCTTCTATCTGCTTAGCACTCACTTTGCAACTATGCATGCACGTTCCCGCTGAAACGGGACGCAAGGCTTCGTTGTATGACAAAATGACAGGACGGCAGAAATGCACCTCTTCAACGGGGCTGTCCCTACCAAAACGGCACGTCTGGTCACACTAATCCGTGGGCAACCTTTACTTTGACAAAACCCTGAAACATTGGGAACGCTATTTACCTTCTCGTTCCTCAATCACTGAATTGCTTAGCAAAAACAAAAACAAGAAAAACAACCTATATACGGAAGCTTTTTTAATCATTTTTTTATTGTGACAAAAAGGAAACAGCCGAGCTCGCATTACCTCTCACAGTGTGGTGTTACTGGTGGTAACGTGCGACGACGGCGCGAGCGACGACCACCTCGGCTTCCTCTTGGACAACGTGTTTGGCGCCATGGTGATGTCCGTGGGGTTGGACGCAGTGCAGGCGATACGCAACGTCGACAGGCTCAAGCGGGACCTCAGGGTGAGCGTGACGTACAACACCATCTGCTGTCGTCAAGATTCAGATCATGCAAGCAGAAAAGTCTAACAAAAAGTCGAAGAAAAAAGTTGAACAAAAAGCCACGAAAGCTAAACTACTGTAATATCCTGAGAGATAGCCCACATAAAAGCGAGAGCAAATAGAATGAAACTAACTAGTAGATTAACTTTTAATGTGCAATCAAGAAAAATTTTAAAAATGCTATTTTTGTATTTTATGATTTGCCAAACTTGTTCTCACATTGAGAAGCAATACCGTATTTACTCGCACAATGAACGCACTCGCGTAATGAACGCACCCCCCAAGTCGGCTCTCAAAATTTCGACTATTTTTTCCCTCGCGTAATAAACGCACCCCCAACTCGGACGTCAAAATTTCGACCCCCTCCTCCCACGCGCGCGAAATGAACGCACTTTTCTATCCTGGTGCAGCGAGGTCGCGAATGCATGGGCAGCGTGGTCGAACAAAACGCCTTGCAAAAGGCGTTAAAAAAATTCGCAAAGATCCAATGGAAGCAAGAAAAAAAAACATGCGAGAGGAGCTTTTTTTCTTTTTTTTGCACAGCGCAGTCTGGATTTTGGGTTCGCGCGCCGCCGCGCGCAAGGAGGTAAGAAAGAGAAGCGGAGAAGCCCGCTAAGCAAACGAAACAGCTTGCGAAAGGCGGCAAAAAAAATAAAAACCCACGGAACTGAGAAAAAAAAACAAGGAAAAGAGGAGCTTTTTTTCTTTGCACAGCGCAGTTTGGTTGGTTTGGTTAGGGGGGTCGTGCGTCGCGCGCGACGAGATAAGAAAGATAAGCGGAGAGCCCTCGCCTAAGCAACGTCTAAGCAAACAAAACAGCTTGCGAAAGCCGGCAAAAAAAAAAAAAAAAACCCAAGGAACTAAGAAAAAAAACAAAGGATTTTTTTTTTGCACAGCTTAGTTTGGTTACGGGGTCGGGCGCCGCGCGCAAAGAGATAGAAGGGTGATTCCACGTCAGTTCATGCAATGATGGTCCGGGTCATAATTTAGATATTTTTGTTAAAAATATATATGAAAGCCATGTTCTTGGGAGGAACATTCAGCTAGATATGAACGCCGTAACAATTTTTTTCGCTGAGAAATAAAATGGAGAAGCTTGAGGCGTGGAAATTGAGAAGATTTCACAATGCTACTTTGCACAGTCGTCATTTCCTTATCGAACCTTTCACGGCACCATAACTTTTTTAATAGGTTTTACAAAGGTTATACAACAGATACATAAAAAATTAAAAATATCCATAAAATATTTCAATGCAAACAAAAATATCAAACATGGCACAAAAACGCGTTTTAGAGACATATTCACAATTTTTTTGCAAATAAACCATCTTTCATAATACTTCACAAAACATATCAAAATGCGCGTATTTAAATATTCTTTACGAATATATAAAGATAATATGCCCACCCTTAAACATATTTTTGTTATCAACGCGGAAATTCGGCTGATTTCTCGAAATGTGGCAAGATTGGGCGTCGATATTTAAAAAAACTCCATCTTTTATTTTCTTTAAACTCCCCTTGGCACTTTGCAGTGACTTGAACTAACCTGTGATGGCAAAAGATTGAGTAACATATGACCTCCAAGCGGGAAAAGCTACGACAAACCTTTATCGGAGCGAGCCGACGTCATCGTCATAGCGGCTTTGCCGCACAGCACCAAACGTTTGGGCGTTAGTTATGGCATGTATTTTATATTATTAAAATTCTTTTTTTATACGCGGTGAGTATTAGTGACGTGAAAAGGAGCTTTGAGCTGGAATGCCATTAATTAGCTTACAATTCACAGGAATAAAACGGCCCCACTCTGCAAATTCGCTACCTATGCATCATACATAAGCTTAAAACTCTCAGTTGCGCGAATGGCCATGTATACATCTTGCCTCTCGGCATATGCTGACTTTCACAGATGAGTTTCCTGGAGAGTTTCCTGGATTCCTTTGACAGGTTTTACGGTGGTCCACTTTGCTTGCTTCACCGCACGAAACTCTCGAACTCGAAGACAGTTGTGAGCACTGCGCAGAGTGGTTTGACGCGTTTTGCGAAGTGCTGAAGGCATGTAGTTCTCACCAGGAACGCAAGCGATTGTACGTGCTTCTGCCATCAATCATCCTGAAGAAAACAATATTGCGTCTGGTGTCGGGTGCGACTGCCTACATGATTGATCAAACATGAAAACTGAAGCGCAAAGGTGGTGTTTGGGCAACCCCTGATCCCTACATGGGGAAAAAGGCGAATGCCGAAGACGGGGGGGTTGCAATTGAGTACTACACACGCGACGACCTCGCATGCTCTGTTCAAAGCCCCGACAAAAAGGACGTCGTCAAAGTCATGATCAACGACATGTTCAAAGTCGTAAAAAGGTTTATGACCCGCTCTATTAAGGAAGCTTACCAGCTGTTTAGGAAGGACCATCCCCAACCCGAACTAGGCATCTCCAAATTTTATTCCCTACGACCAAAATAGGTCAAAAAAAAAAAGTCCCGAGCACGAGGTGTGCGCATGCATATATTGCGTCAATTTTCAGTTGCTTTTAACGGCAATAACAAATGCCCCAAAGAAGACATTTACTGAAGACGACCTCAAGCGCATCTACCTCTTCTGCGCTCCACAGAACGATTGCTTTCTGTGCCGTTGCGAAAAGTGCCCAAAAACGCAGAGCATCCCGCTGCAGTCGCTTCATCTCGACGAAGACCAAGAGATCTGTTTCGCGTTATGGGACGCTGGCGAACTCGTCAAAAAGGTTATGGACACTTCTGCCTTCCTGCGGCAATAGGAGAGCGAAAAGTATATGAGGCATTCTTACATCCTTGACCTTGAACGAAGCCTGATACATGACGCAAGAACCGCCTTACCACCCAAGGCAGTGATGTTCCACTTCGATTTTGCGGAAAAATGGACAGTACTCTTTCCAACGGAATTGCAGAGTTTTCATTGAAAAAAAACTCGTGTCTCTCTCCACAAGTGTGGTTACGTCCACGCAAGGCACGCAAAGCTTTGCCGTTGTCACCAATGGTACACGAAACATGACACAGCTCACGCTCTTCTAGCCACATAGGCCATAAAAGAGTATGTTAATGTTCATTTCCCAGTCTTTTTTGAAATAATTTTTGTATCAGACGGAGCGGCGGCGCATTTCAAGAATCGCTTCCAATTCCACGAATTGTCTCGGAAGCCGCACTCTTCGGCAAGATGGATCTTTTCAGCCACTGGACACGGAGAAAGCGCTTGTGATGAAGTAGGTGGAAGAACCAACGCTCACCAAGTTCCTCGCTTGCGTTGAGTTGAGCGAGATCTTCGCTCAACTCAACGATTGCCACCGCTAAAGACTTTGTGGAAGTGCTACGTAAAAAAGTAGCAAATGTCTGCATGTTCCACCTGTCTGTGGAACGGGTTCGAGAGTTTCGTGCGGTAAAGCAAGCAGAGTGGACCACCATAAAACCTGTGAGAGGAATCCAGGCTTCTCATCTGTGGAAGTCATCATATGCCGAGAGGCCGGATGTATACATGGCTACTCGCATAACTGAGAGTTTTAAGCTTATCTATGCATAGTTAGCGAATTCGCACAGTGGGGCCGTTTTGTTCCTGTGAATTGTAAGCTAATTAATGGTATTCCAGCTCAAAGTCCATTTTCGCGTTACTAATACTCAGCCCTTATGAAAAAAAAATTTTAATAATATAAAATACATGCCATAACTAACGCTCAAAACGTTTGGTGCTGTGCGGCAAAGCCGCTATGACGAAGACGTCGGCTCGCTCCGAGTGAAGGTTTGTCGTAGCTTCTCCCGCTTGGAGGTCATATGTTACTCAATCTTTTGCCATCACAGGTTAGTTCAAGTCACTGCAAAGTGCCAAGGGGAGTTTAAAGAAAATAAAAGATGGAGTTTTTTAAATATCAACGCCCAATCTTGCCACATTTTGAGAAATCAGCCGAATTTCTGCGTTGATAACAAAAATATGTTTAAGGATGGGCATATTATATTTATATATTCGTAAAGAATATTTAAATACGCGCATTTTGATATGTTTTGTGAAGTATTATGAAAGATGGTTTTTTTGCAAAAAAATTGTGAATATGTCTCTAAAACGCGTTTTTGTGCCATGTTTGATATTTTTGTTTGCATTGAAATATTTTATGGATATTTTTAATTTTTTATGTATGTGTTGTATAACCTTTGTAAAACCTATTAAAAAAGTTATGGTGCCGTGAAAGGTTCGATAAGGAAATGACGACTGTGCAAAGTAGCATTGTGAAATCTTCTCAATTTCCACGCCTTAAGCTTCTCTATTTTATATCTCAGCGAAAAAAATTGTTACGGCGTTCATATCTAGCTGAATGTTCCTCCCAAAAACATGGCTTTCACATATATTTTTAACAAAAATATCTAAAATATGACCCGGACCATCGTTGCATGAATTGACGTGGAATCACCCAGAAGTTACTTCGATTTTTCAGGATAAAAGGTCCGTTCATTATGCGAATAAATAACGCACGCAAAAATTTTACTTCGCGTAATGAACGCCCCCCCCCTAACTTTGCATCGATTTTTCGGAAAAAAAAGTGCGTTCATTCTGCGAGTAAATACGGTATTTCACATTGAGAAGCGAGAGATAAGCAATATTTGCTTATCTCTCACCATAGCTGTCTAACACCATTTTGGCCGAGGGTGCACCATGGCCAATTACTAAAAGTAGGCCATCTTTCAATGTTTTTGAAAAATGGCAAATCATATAACAAATGGGTGGGCTATCTTTCGGGATATTACGGTAGTGCGGTTTGTGCACGCGAATTATACAGCCAGGGGAACATAACATAGGGGGCTAATTGTCATGATAAGTAGGCTAATTAACTAAAATTTGTTCATTAACTTTTTAGTTTGTAAAAATAAACGTACGGTTCCAGTTGGAGACTCGCCGAACATCTTTGAAAACCACCGAAGCAGTAAATTCTAGAAAAACTGAGCGCGTGGGAAGTGCGGCGGCGCACTAAAGTTACCGCTCTTGCAATGGGGGCTTGACACTGGCAGTGTGAAAACGTTGTTGATGAGTGCCCGGTCGCGTCACCATCTGCGTTTGGTGGTGGCGTTAAAGATGCGCCAAAGACGTTTCGGAGATCTTATGCTCTTGGTGTTAACTCATTGTACAAGATCTTAGCATCCCAGAAATCGAAAAATTATGATCGTGCAGCGTTTATTTCCCTATTAAAAATGTGATGGAAGTTTCTGCCACGCTCCTTTCTGAGTGAAAAAATCTGGAGCACAGAATTCAGCGGAAGCGCTGGCGGCGTGACGACGGGTGCGCGTCAGCCAGTCACAAGCAGAGGCACCTCCGCTGGATTCTGTGTTTCAGATTTTTCCACTCAGAAAGGGGCGTGGCAGAAACTTCCATCACCTTTTTACTAGAGAAATAGACATCGCACGAGCATAATTTTTTGATATCTGGGATACTAAGATGCCAAGGGACGTGGCACAAACTTCTATCACATTTTTAGTAGAGAAATAGATGACGCACGATTATAACTCTTGGATTTCTAGGATGCTTGAAGCCCGTAAGATAAGTTATCACCAAGAACAGACGATCTAAGTCCTTCGAAGAATCTTTGTTTGAAAACAATATAAGAGGTTTGTCGGGCTCGATTGTTTTACGAATGACTAAAAAAATGCGACGCGGGGTTATTGCGGGAAGATTCGGTTCGGTTACCGCCGCCCTTTACGTCGTTAATGCGCAACTAGTAGCGACATGCAAACCGTGGAATCCGAAGTGGCGGGTACTGACACCTGGAGTTTTCTGCCCGCGACCTCGCAGGGCTGCTACCCCTTGGTGGACCACTTGCTGAGCCAGCTGGACCAGGACTCCTGCACGCTCGGGGACCTGACCGGGGTCGCCGACTTCCTGCTCTGTCCGGAAAGCCAGGCACTCCAGGTACGTGTCCCAACTATGGAGCCCGAACACGTGACGTCGTCGTAGAAGCGTCACGCCATTGCCTGCCACGTTGCTTACCACGGCAGCAGAGGTTCTGAAGCAGGTTGCTCTCCGGCACGATGGCCCTTGGAAGCTTCGGCATCGCGGAGTCAGGATGCTGCAAAGACGGCGACGTTCGCATTCTCTCGTGGTTTTTGCCGAAAGTTAAAGGCCCGTTCACACTCTTTCGACTGAGTAAGACCGAGAGAGACCAGACCGGTTTTTAAGCCTCTTGCGATCTCTTAGGACCAGCTCCGCTGCATTGCATCTGGTCCTAAGAAGTCGCAAAAGGCTTAAAAACCAGTCTCGTCTCTCTCGGTCGTACTCGGTTGCAAGAGTGTGAACGGGCCGTAAGACCAACCGCTGGGATCACTTAGTTCGACAGCGTGATGGTGTGGCTTCCGTGGCGTCGTTTGTTGCCGCTTCGGGACGACGCTCAATGTGTGGGCGGAATGGGACGCCAAATGCACCGGTTGGAGACGCGTTCTAGGTGTCGTAGTCGGAACACACTCCTCCTTTGTTTCTTGTTTTGCGGGCAGGCTCGTTTTCTTCATTTTATGCGAGCGTTGCACGTTGCACACAGGATTCTGGTGCGAAGGCACCACCGTTAAGTGAGGTCGAGACTGAGCAGTCTCCTGGAAGAAATGACCACAATATATCTACAAAGCTAATTATCGAGGGAATCGTGGAATGAACTTATCGGTTCAGCTAACTGTGCCGAGACGCACGTTTCTCGGGCAGTGCGGTCGGAGCTAAGCATGCGCATTATTTGCCGTCTCCAAATGCTGTAGGAAGTTGTCCCCGAGAAATGGTGCCTGGCACAAACACTTTGTATTCATCGAGCAGAAAAAAAGCATCAGGTTTTGTTTTCATGCTCGTTTTGCTTTGGCAAAAAATGTATTCCAGAGAGCCAGATTTCTTTTCTTCTTCTCGAATGGCTCCCTCGGTCACCTCCCTCATTGAAACTCGCGAGAGAAGAGCGACCATAATTAGTTACAGTTTTGTCGTTGTAACTGCAATTACAGTTCAAGTAACTGTAATTAGTTAGTCTCATCAGCCATAACTAATTGCGGCTCAAGTAACCGTAAATGGTTACTGTTATTTGAGCCATATTTACAGCTACAGGTGAAATAACTGTAGTAATCCTCTGTGGTATCTCGGCTGTAATTAGTTACGGATTATGCGACCCTAACTTATTTATGTTTTAAGGGAAGCGCTTATGAGAGCCCGTTGCCACCCCCTTGCGCGCGTCCTTGCAGCCGTACCTGGAGTCGTTTGTGGAGGAAGTGGACAGCCTGTACGGCTGCCTGCTGGTGAGGGGCAAGGTGGCCGTGGCCACCAAGCACTGGCTCAGGCTCAGCCCCCAGGAGACCGTCCTGCTGGCAATGGCCGCCCACGCAGGAACCAAGTGCATTTCCAGAGACCTGCCGGTCTACCTGCCCAACAGCTGCCCGTCGGTGAGTCCTTCCTGTTCCATTCAGTATCCTTTGAGGAGCTGGTCTTTGCATTTATATAATAGAGCAGTGCAGAGGCCTAGAGACTTTGTAAACAATAGGGCACATGTTTGTAATTCAATTAAAAAAACACCAAAAAGAAAAAAAGTTTTTAGCAATTTGAAAAAATGACAATTATGGTATTACAAAATAAATTTTAAGCAAAATAGGATTTTTTTTTTTTTGTAAAAATATTACAGGACATTTAAAACTGCTTACGTGTAGGAATGCGATAGCATTCCTACACGTAAGCATTCCTACACGCTGTCACATTCCTACACGCTGTCCTTTGCAGAGGCCAGCTGCCGTACCAGCCTCTGCGGTGACCGCAAGTGTGCCACCCTTTCCCTTTTACTGGCGTGCGGGCCGCAGTGCCAGGAAGGGGGCTTTTCTGTGGGGTGGCGTTCCTTGGAACTATGACGTGTCGCAGCCAATGGGAATTTATTGCTCATTTCGCTCAGCCGGAATTTAGGTGCCGTTTTTCGTCGTTACAGACAATGCTGGCTTACACTCCATGAGACAGTTAATGCTTTTGCATTAATATATTTACAGTGCTAGATTTGTTTTAGTTTACAGCTTCCAAAAGCGCGCACCAACAATAGGGACATAACGTCACCACATGTACATGCCAAGGACAGCGTTCTCACTGGCCGCGTCTCCTCTCCTCTCCTTACCTCTCTTTAGCGTGCCTCAGTGCTCCTCATTTCTATGTTCCTTTCCCGCACATGATTTTGCTATGCGGAGGAAGGGTAAGGAGAGGATGAGGACACTGCGCTTGGCATGCACATGTGGTGAAGTGGTGGTGACGTTATATAGCCATTTTGGGTGCGTGTTTGAAAGCTGTACGCTAAAACAAGTCTAGCGCTGTAAATAATTTTACAAAAAAAATCTATTTTGTGGAAAATATATTTCGTAGTGTTAGTAATCTTTCCAGGCTGTTTAAAAACATTTTTTTTTCTTCTTTTTAGTGTATTTTTAAGCATCAATGGATGGCTCAGATCTGCAAAAATAGTGCTTAAACTGGAGAAACACTTTACTTAGGGGCAAGAGCAGTTCAGAAAATTTGGGGGCTCGGTGAACCCACAGTGGATTTCTGGGGAACCAGTTTGAGAACTCGTGCTCCGAGGAAACAGCAGTGAAACAATAATAAAACCACATTTTCTCTGAACTCATCGATATACTCGACATCAACTATTTTGCGCTACTTTGTCGAGGCTAGCGTAGCTTCCACAGTGCTCCATTGCCGACAAAACTAGAGTCACTGGATGTTTCCGAGTACCAAAAGTCCCAAACACAATAACAATTTAATATTTTCTTCTTTTTTTTTTTACAGTGGTCATTGTGACAGCCTTTGTGAGCGACGGTGACCGACTTTTCACGGGCAAAAGTTCTGGAAGCGTTTCTCGTCAATATCAGCAATTAGAAAGCATGTTTTCGCGTAAAAACAAATGGAAGAACCTCTTTTTGTAAGTACTTTTATTGGAGATTAGTGCAGAATGACAAGAGCATGATGTTATCATAAATGTTTAGTTCAGAAGGTTTTTCGGCACAATATTGTTTGTATACAACCTTGTCTCACCGGTAATTTCTGGTAGCACGTCCCTACCTGGGGCGCGTCCTAACTTCGGTGATAATTCGCGGCTTTTCTGCTTGGGAGATGGGGGTTGGCACAACTGGAAACCCCTTTCACCGTATACGTTTCGGCGCCAAAATGGCCGATCAAAGCTAAAATAGAACAGTCATAGCTCACGCTATCGAATGCGATGCTCTGGTAATAACCAGTGACTCTAGTCAAAACCACTTGCACGAGTGTGTGTGAACAAAGTGCAAAAGGAAGCTACATGCCCTTGCAGCAGTGAGGCGCAGCGGCACTGGGAAGCTAGGCTAGCCTCGACAACATGGCACAAAATAGTGGACGCTGAGCATAGTGACCTGTCGGACTGATCTGGGTATGACTGTCCATGAAGGATGATCTTGAGAAGAGGCTGTTACTCCCGTTCTGTGCAGCGTCTTCCAAGGGAAAAGCAATAAACCATTCTATTCAGTGTCTTCCGAGGGAAGAACTCTGACCTCAATCGAAGTAATCAGTCGCTAGCAACGAGTCTTTACAAGACTGCTCAGCAAGAAAGATCTTCTATTGACTCCTTTCTTTACAATTGCCACCAGGCGGTGCTCCAGTCTTTGAGGGCATTTATGCTTTCTAGCACTGGTGACATAAGCAAGCTCAACAGACTCGCAAAGACGAAGTGACTGGAAGTCGCGTGGCATGCAAGCAGCTGTATATGCTTGTAAACAATAAAAGGGTCTATAGATCGACTGAGTCATACCGGCACTTCATTTCTAGCTTGCACCAAAGACTTATGTGTGCTTTCACATATAAAAAGTAACGATCGAGAGGAGAATACTATATCCGCATGCTTAGCTCTTTTTTTATTTCCCAACTGCCGACACCGAGAGTACATAGACTGTGTTCCGTGTTTTCTTTTTTCCACAGGTTTGCAACAGGCTGGTCACTCTGCAGCTCACACAAGGCGTAGAACTCTGCCTCCTCTGCGGTCCAGCACCGTCCTTAGCGGTACTCGAAGAGGAAGTAAGTCGGGCCACGTGCCAACTTAAAGGCCGACTACGATTCATTTGAGGGAAAAATCTTTAGGGTTATGCAGTGTTTGAATGTGAGGTGGAGAGTCCTTTCTACAGTTGATGTGAGGAGACGAGAAAAATGATGGTGCATCGGTTGCCTCACAATTGCACTGGGGATTTTGAGCACCCCGTTACACTCCATTTGCCCGACGCAGGCCAGTGCTTAGAGTCCAGATGTTATTCCAAATTTTAATTATCTGACTTCTTATTGTAAATTTCATCATTTGGCTCTCCGTATGCTGCGAGGGAAAGTAAGCATACTTGTTTTCTTCACAGAAAAATTATTAGATTCAATTAAATATGATAGGTCCCATGCAATTGTGCTCTTAGAAATAAAACAAAATTGCTCTTTCGTCCAATTACTGTGTGATTCAAGTTGTTTTTTGCACCAGTGTTGCTTTAGTGAGGTCTTTCCTAAGCAAGTTTTTCAAAGCGAGAACTACCATTTTTCTCAGTTTATTTTCTCTTTTCATGTGTTTCTAGGTTCTGTTGAATGACTGATCATATTATGCCCTCCCTATGCATTGCTTGAGAGGTCCTTTAGAGTACATAAGTAAATAAAATAATAAAAATTTTGACCATTTTGCGTGGTTGCTGACATTGCATTTTTCTCTCGTTTTCGATCAGGTGTGCCGGTTTTGGAACGATGCCTTTGACTTGCTCAAGTCTGCCTCCAGCTTACACCCCCGCAACTTTCCTCTCTCTTCGTCTTCGGACAAGAAAGTGGTGGCCTTTCCTCCCCTCGACAAGAACATCCTCGGGTAAGGAGGACTCTCCGTAAAGATCCCTAGAGAGGAAAGTCTTTGAGGGGAAACTTTTTTTTACAGAGGGAATTTCCTTAGAGATAAGCTTCCCTAGAGGGGCACTTTTGCCAAAGAGAACTTCTCTGGGGAGGAACTTCCCCCAGAGAGGACTTTCATACAGAGACTATCTCTAAAGATTACTTCCCTAGAGTGACTTTCCTAGGAATTATTTTCCTATCATGGGATGTTCCCTGGAGACTGTTTCCTAGAAAGGGAGTTTCCCCAGAGAGAACATCTCTAGAGAGGAACTCCCCCTAGGGGGACTTTCGTACATAGACTTTCCGTGGTGATTAACTCTCAAGGAGTAGCTTCGTTCGATTTACCCACACCGGTGCAGAGAAGTGCAGGGCGGTGTACTTCCGGTCGTATCTCGATACACATACAGGAAGTGCAATGCCTACCTTTTTCTGCACCGGTGCAGGGAAATCAAACGAAGCTACCGACTTTTCCAGAGAGAATTTTCCTAGCAAGGGACATTTCGTAGAGATTACATTTCCTAGAGAGAGAGTTTTCCCAGAAAGAACTTTCATGCAGAGGGAATTTCCCCAGACGAAATTCTCACTAGAGGGGCACTATCTCCAGAGAAAACTTCCCTAGAAAGAAATTTTCCTTAAATAGGATTTTCATTCAAAGAGGTTTTCTTCAGCAATATCTTCCCTAGAGAGGGACTTTCTCAAACAGAATTTCCCTAGCAAGGAAAAATTCTCGTTGTGCAAACGGTGGTCTGCGGCTGTTGTTTCAGGTTCTTGCTGATCAACACCAAGAGGCACAAGAGCCTGACGAGCGTTCACCCGCTGGAGGACGAAATAGCGAGGACAAAAGAGGGCAAGTGCATCAGCCTCCGGAGGCGTCAGGAGATGCTCAGGGTGCTGTACAAGAGCGTCGTGGGACGCCATTTTCCCGCCTCTCCGCACCAGGAACAGCCTGCCGTTTCGGGTGAGCACAGTGTTGTACGCTGCACGCTGCAGTCAGCATGAACACCTTTCTAATGAAGAATGCTTTTTAATGAAAACGAAATTAGGATTTGCGTTGCGGTGCAGTCGCCCTAGCCATCTTGTAATGCTGGGCATCAAGTCATGTAACGTGGCGTCACGTCATGCGATCCCGTCGTGCGACATAAGGTCGCACGAGACAGTGCCACATGAAGTGGCTTTGCATGGCATCATGACTCAAAGCCGCTACGACATGCCGCTCAGATTAGCGCATGTGTCGGTAATGCATTCTGTGTATGAAGCGTTCGAGTGGTAGAACAAAGGAACACTTTGTGATGTTTTGCATTCTAGTTATGTGGGTTCATATTGAACACCAAATGGTGCCACCTATGCTAGTGCCCGACAGAAGCATATTCCACTGCAGTTGTAGTTTAAATGACAGCTTTTTAGTTGAGAGAAAAAAGTGGGGAAAAGCTGGTCGTTGCATGTTCGCGCCGACACCATAGTGTCTGTGCATGTTGTGGCCAACTGCTCTCCGATTACTTTTATATTGTTCTTTGCTCCATCTCGTATTCACATTAAACTGCAATGCGACTGGAATGCAGATTCGGAAAGAGATTGCGAGCAGCTTCAAAGATAAAGCGTGTGTGAAGAATGCGGGAAAGTGTAAATAACATTCATAGTGGCGATAGAAAAGTCGGCTGGTCGTTTGAACAATTTTTTGGAGCAAATCACACTCGGTACATTTAGGTTGTTTGTTTGCAGCAAGTGCTTCGAGTGACATGTCTTTTGTATCGACCCTAGTACTAAGCCCATTTTCGCCTCATTGCACTCCCTACACATTCTAGTTTGAAAAAGCTTCTCAGTTAAATTTGCGACACTCGTCAGAAGTCCGTCGGTGTTCGAGCAAAGCTTGGCATGGAGAAAGGGGAAGCCGCAAGTACCGCACGTTACGAGTCTGCAGAATCGAACAACAATCGGCGGTGTTTTGCTTGCAGGTGGCGCGGACCATTCTGCGACGGAAGTCTACACGTGTGCCGAAACGCACAAGAGCTACGCCATCCGGACAGCCGACCACCAACTCTACCTCCTCTTTTCGCCGAGCATACCAACATTTGCCATGAGGTAGGCCTACAAGCTGGCCCTTTCAAACACCGTCCCCGCGAACACAGCCCAACAACGCTTTCACGTTTTACTCTCGAGCTACGCTGACTAGATTGCGTCTCAAACTGGTGCGTTTAGTGCCTCCTCAAACGTGGTCCCTCGATTTCCACCCGACGACGTCAAAGAAGCGCCTTGCCGCCATCCACTGCGATTCTAGCGATGGCACGGCAATGAAGGAGGATGCGGCAAATGCCCGTTCTGCAGCAGCTCGTTCTGCAGCCAGATGGTAGACGGAAACTAAAGCGGACATCCGCTCGCCCTTGTCCAGCTCCCAGGACTGTGACATCCGACGGCGTCACATAATTTTTTGGCGCTTCGGAACCCCTTTTGACGTGGGGAGGGGTGGAGTGGTGGTAAACACACCAGCCGAAGACGCATTTCTATGTTTTACTCTAGCACGAACACTTCAGTGTTCCAGCTTAAATGGGAGAACGAAGGTTTTCCCGTTTAAATCTTACGCTCTCTCTTACCTTCCCCCGAGAAATGAGCCTTGACATTTCCGCACCAAAATACTGCCGTATTAAATTGTTCCACATACTTTAATATTGATCAATCGTGTTATATTTACACCCCATTGTGTGCGTGATAGTGAAGGGCAACTCCGGTAGAAAAAGAAACCAAAATAAATGACTGGCATCGCTTTGGTGGCTTACAATATGATCACAGCCGAAATATTACGTAAAAGCTGAATACTCCACTGAAACCGATTTTAAAGATGTGACTGCTCTTAGGAGGCAGCAAGCGGGTGAGCTCTTAATCAGTGAACACGAGCGCAGCACTCTCGTGATGTCATGCCACGTCACGGTGGAGCTGCAGCTGTTTGGTTGTACCGCATACCGCGGCACTCTTGCGACAACACATTGCGGCCGTACGGCTGATGATCAGTGTTGCCATCCCTTCAGCGGATAGTTTCGGTTTTGCCGTAGATACCCAAAACTAAACTCTGAGCTGCAATATTTATAAAACTACACACAGGATTTAAAAAAAAAAAGAAAAATTATACCTTATAATTAAGAGACATGCTTTAGCTGAAAACAGTCATAATCCCAAATTAAAAAATATTGAATGGAGTTGCCCTTTAAAGGGACACTGAAAGGGTATTTATGCTTGCCAAGGTTTTTATTCGTATATGACATGAAAACCAAGCTACCCAGAAAACAGCTTGCGGCGGAAATTCATTTTCGTTCCGCCCGAAAACTGGCGATCGAGAACTGGCCGGTTTGATTCGCGCTCACTCTCTTCCCTATAGTCACGTGCCGTTGTCTATGGTTTAGACACAACTACCAAATAGTATAATTAAACTTGTGGGTCATCGAAGGCACACACACAATAAAAATAGAAATGTACCCATTTTTTGTGGCTTCTAAAAGGCTGCAAATACGTTGTTTGGAAGAAAAATAAAGCTGCTCAGCCATGCGACTTCTGCCAACTCTCTCCTCCTCTATATTTCTTCCTCCCCAGTCCAGTTTCGGTTCCGTGCAGTTTCGTTTTTTTACTTTATTAAAAGATATGTGACACTGTAGCAAAATATTGATTGGTGCTGGCTTCTGACACCATAATAAATCACCTGGCAAAAGATAAAAAAATTAATTTTGGGGGTGCCCCTTAAAGTATTTGCCATTTTTTCATGTCGAGGATGAAATGTTCAAAAGGTGTTTATTGCGTCGTTTCTTTATGCTTATGCTACGATAGTCTAATTAGATTTCCCAGACTATTTTCGAAATATAATAGAAATAAAGAGACCAAACCTTCTCATACTGAGGGGGTTCCAGTGACATCTTAATTGTTGCATACTAATTGGATCTTATTTGTTCCACTAATAGACTGATTTTTGTGAGTCTGTTAATTAAAATACTCATCTTCGTATCCCATTTTCCTTTTCCTGCTTCAAACTTTGCAGGTCGGTCAGCCACAAAACTCTCAAGGTCTTGACGACAAACAAAATGTGCGTCCTCTGATGGAGCCAGCCAAGCGGCCAGGGTCCTCGAGAGCCAATCTAGTCTGTGATATTTATGGCTGCGTCCTGCGGCGATGCACACTTTGAATGTGTCTACTTACCTCATATAAGAGCTTAGTTAATATATTGCCATCTGTTTTGGAAGACATCCCCCATCCATATGTTTCTGTACCTTAAAAAAAAAATATTATTAACGGTGCCCAGATTAGTTTTGTTGGAAGCGATCTCTATCCAGGGTTGTGTGCTAAAAAGCCACTTATTTTACGCAAAGATATTTTCGCGCAAGACACGCGTTAGAGCACACGCACATGCTACATTATCTTCACATAGTATTTGTTTGTTTCAACGAGAGTTGTGCGAATAGTGACTTTTCAGTTCAAAGCGAATAGTTCTTTCGTACGATTAATCTCGAATCGAATCGAGTAATTTCAAAGCGAAGCGAATGGTTTGCGGCCGTCAATACAGTCATGGTAGAGAACCTTGGAGACTAGGGAACAAAAAGAAAAAAGGACAAACACGACAGGGTCTGGAGGGTTCTCTACCACGATCACCAGCTTACCCTCACCAGTAACTGTTATATCAATACAGTCACATCTCATTATTATGGACGCTTCCGTTTCCCGGAGAAATCGTCCATAATGTAAATCATTCATTTTATTTTTAGTCTGAATTAAGGCTATGCTTTGGAGCATTTGAAATTTCGAAATCCTTGGAAAATATTCGAAGTTGCCGAATAGCCCCATTCGATTAGACTTTCGGATTGAACATGGCATTATTGCTTCAATATTATAAAGTTCCGAATATTCGCACAACCCTAGTTTCAACCGAAATCACAGGCCTTGGATGAATGATAAGAATCTGTTGTTTGATGTGTCATGTTGTAATTTATGCCATACCTATGTTCACAGACAGTATGAGACTCCTCCCTGCCGTTCTAATCCCGTCATTTACCATAGATGTAGTTGGGTTGCTGTACTGTATATGCCAAAATATCTGAAGATTAGCTTACGTTTTTTTTAAACAATCTGTTGCAAGAACGTGTGGACGATGTTGGTAGATTGAGGTACTTCAGCTGATGAGTCAAAGAGCTTTCATCAACCAAATGAGTATTTTATTTCTTAATTTCTACTGGCTCTTTAACTTGATCTAGCAGTCTTTCGGAGCAAAGGTTTTCACCCCATTGAAGACAGCTTCTGCTGCATTAAGCAGTTGTCTCCTCTTAAAACAAATGTCACCAAAAAACTCTCAAATCAATGGTACTCAAAGTTTTGCCATCTTGTAACTTGCAGCAGTTATAAACTGCCTGGTGATGACTACTGCCATCACCAGGCAGGTAAGCTATTTTAAATTTCCATTGCCAGGCAGGTAAGCTGTCTCTTTTAAATTGCAATAGACTCAATGAAGATAAAAAAAAAAAAAAAGAAAACTTCCTAAATACTTTACAAAGCTGGTCTCGCAATGTTTCCATGTAAAAGCGAGGAATTTTCGTGGAAATTTTTATGTTTGGGAAAATATTTTGCATTTGTTTAGGGCATTTTTAGCATGTGCATTAGACCTGTGATCCCCATGCCTCCAATGAAAGACAAGAGAGAAACATTGATATTACATGGGTGCTAATGTGTGTCAACATGAATCGGGAGGTTTTCTTCTCCTTTATGCAAAGCTTTAGCTATATAATATTGATGTGTGTCGAGCGTTTTCTTTGTCCTGAAGGCCTTAGGATGTGGTCACAATTGAAGAAATGTCAAAATGTTTTGTCTGGCAGAATGTTACAATTTCATTGGTGTCATGATGCAAGCATGGGGAAGGTCTGTCAGGAAGTGAAGTTACTGCTACTGGAATCAATCCATTTTCTTTTATTACATATACACTACTATTCAGAGACATTGTATTAGCACAAAATGGAAGTTTGGCCAAATTGACAGGTTGTTTTAACTATTTGGCAAAACTTGTTTTACAAGCTGCTTTTGCATTTAAGTGTGCCTGCAGTACTGACAAATTTGGATGGTCACCGCTGAGCTGTTCTGTAGAAATCTTTTTTCCGTACTAAACAAACTTTTCAATATTTTTTTTTTTTTTTGCCTGCAACTTTACATTTGCATCCTTCCACCAAATCCATGTGCCTAGCAGCTAAAAAAAGTTTCAGATTATGTCGAAATGGGACATAAAAAACAACTGAAGGGTACAATTTGATGTCATTGCTGTGCAAGTATATCTGGACCCTGTTGTTCCCACATATTTAATCTCATTGTACTAGTCATTTCATGAGACAAGTGAATTAAAATCTAAGTGAAAGCGTCGACTTTCATGCTCTACCAAATCCTCTCTCCTTCTTCCATGTTGATGTTTGCCGATCAAATAGAGTTGCTCTGTAATTTTACGAGTACACGACCAAAAACAATATTTCTTTACCTTGAAAGCACAAAAGGACATGTATTGCTGTCCACTAAGTTCGTATTACCCAAGCACATGTAATCGGCAAATGGTGTCATACTGATGTGCACTTTGACAGTTACGAATGTCAACGATTCATTCTGAGCACTATTTAGCAAAAGCATGGAAATCGTTTCATGGCCCTTTAATGAAGCACACAATGGTCCATTAGAGGTCAGGAAAAATGATGTACCTTATACGTGGAGGGGAATGACAATGTATACCCTCTTTTGCTCAGCTTGGTGAGCTTTTCTGATTGGACACGCTTCAAGAGGCAAACTCTCGTCATTCACATTAATTGTCATTCACATTACTTTAAAATCTGCTCTATTTACAGTCAAAACACTAGAAGTAAAAAAAATAAAAAGTTGATAACGGCAAATAACATATATCCAAGAGGTCAATTTTACAAGATACGAGAAGTGCTACATCCCAAAATATATTAGAACATAATATTAGGATCAGAGTAAGTGGGTTTATGAATCCGATATAGCTTCATCATTGTGGGCAATTGCACGCCCGACATATTTCTCGCAATTTATTCGCACGCCCAAAATTTTCAAAAAAAATTATTGCAAATTATGTCCTCGATTATTGGTTCCTAGGACCCCCAGTGGTTTGTTAGAATACCCTCATGCATTCTTCCCGAATTTTTTTGGCCGCCCCAGCCTCCAAACAAAGTGCTTTCTCATTTTACACACTATTTCAGAAAATCCGAGGCATCCATTGATGCATAACTATGAGGAAACATTTGTTAGTACATGCATTATACTTTACAAGGTCTGTAGACTTCTGCGGTGCTTTATTGCATCAATCTTGGGACAGGGGGGGATATTTAGATATATAGGAGTTACTCAAGTTTAAAAGTGTACTGCATCAATTCCCAAACTTGAGAATTAAAATAACCAGATTTGGGGTACCTGACAAATGCCCGTGTCTAGAATAATCCAGTTTTCAGTGATAGTGGGCTGGGCACCCCCGGTATTTTACGGTAGTCAATAAAAATTTGTCTATTCCCTTTATCGTCGAGTCGGCACCTCTGATGGACTTCAATGCCATAGGTGCTTGCCTCAGACCAAACCCGATTCGAAGAGGCAGCAAAAACCTGGAAGCAAGGGCATGGCAAATTCTTACTGGACAGAAAAAATAGCAGATCACCACGCTTTACAGGTGCAGTGCTCAAACAGTTACCGGTGACCCTACCAGCTCAGATTCAATGGTTCCCTTTTCATTCACATTTCCCCTTTTTTCTTTTCTGTGTGGCAATTATTTTGTTAATTGATATTTCATCGACAGATTGTCTCGTCGCCAGGCGACGTTTCACCGACGTACCCTGCAACCGAACTCAACCATCCTGTTTTCGCGACAAACTTTTTGCGTCTTGCCTGGTTTACAGGGCAGAGAGGAGGGGGACAGACACTTAAGAAAACATGCCTCAGTGAATCATGTGCTAGCCTTTAGTGGCTTCCAGAAAAAAAAGTGGGGTGGGCCACGTCCCAACCGATAAGTACAAAAAAAAAAAAAAGCTATAAAGTTACTAATTTTTTGTATATATCTAGCACGACTGCACAAGAGATACGTTAAACTCAAAAGAGTTTCATTGTTTTATGCAAAAAATGCTTATGAAAGAATGTTTTACTTGTCAAAGTCCTTTGCTTGCAAACATGCAATGAACACTGTCAATTTGCATACAGTGCAAACTTTTGTTCTGTGAAAGCACATTTCTAACACTGCCATGTTCTCTTTGTTAGTAAAAAAAATAAATAAATAGAGTCAACGAGGAAATAGAAAAACCAAAGAGGGTGCCTTGTACTTCGTCACGGACGTCCTCCAACTGCAAGGTCCACAGCCACGTCATTCGGGTAGGATAAATGTTCGCAGATCGCAAAATCTGCATTGGAGTATTTTTTTTTTTTTAGAAATTAATATTCACCAAAAGAGTGGGATGGGCCATGATTCAGGATATTACGGCAGTAAAAAAATATATGTCATCGACGGAACATGTGTCTATGAAACGAGTTTCCACAAGATGCCAGTGTCGATGCAATGTGTCCATGAAAGGTTGTCCACAAAATGGGTTTTACGAAACATGTTTCAACGAAACAATGGGGACCTTTTTTTTTGTCTTCCTACATCACGAAATAAAGCACACAAGCTCGGACATCTGTACATAGTTATTTATTTGCTTGGCAGGAGCGTGAGATTTTCCTAAAAAAATGGGATGATGTCGTGATGCAAAAGCGAAAAACACTCCAAGGCCTTTTTTAATCGTCTGTGGGCTCATGTCCGTCGCAGACGCCCGGAAATAACTTACAGCGGTGGCCACTTCAGACGTGCACAAACGCAGACACGATTTGGAGACGACGAGTCTAAACCTCGAGAGTGGACGTGGCAAAGAGAGATGTGGAATCGAGGTTTGCGCAGAGAACAAAGTAACGTCGACAACAGGGTGTAGTACTTGGATGGAATTCGATGCGCAAGCGACGGCTCTAGTCTGCATCAATAAATGAAGCAATAAACGAACGGGACTTGCTTTTTCTTTTTACAACACCGTGTCACTGTGATTTTCACTTCAATCCCGGGATCTTCGCACCAACCACGTTGGTCTAGCACCCAGCACGACTACGTAAAATCATACACTTTCAAAACGCTTCAAAAGTTTCACATTCACAAGCATCCCAAGCAAACGTGAAAACAACCCGGGGGAATTCAAAACTGCATCACACTGCGGTAACTCGCGCAAAACACAATTCGAAACCTTTTACTAACAACAAACTGAGATTGTTTTCTGTACAATATAATTCGCAACTGGCTCGGTAGAGAGCTGAAATAAGACGACTCTCAATTTTACACGCCAGCCGAAGGTGAACAAAAAAATAAAAAGAATCAGGGAACCTTGAAACCAAAGACTGGTGCTTTAAAGGCAACTTGTGCGACAAGTTCTCCACACTGAAAACACGACAGAAAATAAAATAGTAAAAACAGGTACAAACAATCCCATAATAGACACATGAAACTCTCCGTACCCGCACAAAAAGTAGCCGCCTTTGTACCACTACGAAAGGTACCACCTTACACAATTCCAAGTGCACCCCACCACCCCCTACACAAGTTCCCAACAGATGAACCACGCTTCAAACGTTGCAAAACACTCTTCAAAACTGCACATTTGGAAAAATAACCAATGTACACGGAGGCGTTGCTCGGATCCCCCACCTTTGGCGTTTTCTAGGTCCATAACCACTTTACGGTACGTCGCCAGAAATGCAGAAATCGGCAGAAGCAGCGACCAGACGGTGAATCACTGCGCTACGGATGACGTTCCGAACGGGATTTAGCCGATCTCTAACTATTCCTAGATGGCTTTTCTTTGGCTGCACGGCTAATTTGAGAAGACTAGATGACGACGCAGCTAAAAAATAGCTGGATCTTTAAAAAAATGAACATGTTGGCTTTTTCTAGGAGGTTTCTTTTGGCATGCTCAATCCGACGTTGGGGGCGGCACGAGGTCGTACCTAGAATGTCGACCACGAAATAAAACGGTGCAGACAGATGCTCGCAAGCGGTGCTCGATAAGCTACAGTGTGTCTCAAAGACACCGATGGGGCCTCAGTCGGGCCACTAGACCTTGTTTTTACGCGCGCTGCAACTTGGCGGGCAGATACGTTTTGATTTGGCGGACAAAACGGCACCCAATTGTGGTGTTTAAGAAGATGTTCCTCGAGCAGAACATTCTCTGGCCAATTACCGTTGCAATTTGAGTTCGCAGGACGAGCGAGGGAAAGCGCCCGCCAATTTTTAAATCTCATCCTCGACGTTGTGCGGCAGTCGCACTCCAAAGTGCTTAGATAACATTTTCTTGCTCATGTAATAAAAAAAAACAATACAGAAATTTATGGCAAATAACAGTCAGATGTAACTCTGCCTAGAGTTGCAATGTACATGGACATAAAGTTGCAATGTACACGGACATAATTTTTTTTTTTGCTTTTAGAAGCAACTGTAGGTGTTAACTTTTTGCTAAGGATACCCGCTATGTTTACACACTTCTCTGTCGGGTTAGACATCGAATGACTAGTGAAACCGCAATTTTCGCACACCACCAAAGCCCCGGCGGCGGCTTCGAGACAACTCACGCACCTGGAATGTTTAACCGACGTTGCCCTCGCAGTCGGGGCACTTGACTAGAACTGGTACGAGAAAGACGTCGTCGCGCTTGACGGCGCCTCTCGCAGCCCGACGATTGGCCAATCGGACGGTGCATTAATTTCAGACGTCTTGTCGGCGAGGCGCGCGACAGAACGAAAAGACGCGGTTGCCCCGATTGCCAGGAATCCGCATCCGCATTGCGCGGTGCGCGGTTTAGAAAGAGCTGCGTAATGTCTCTCTGCGATTCAATGTCTCTTGGGGTGGATCTGTACAACTGTAACAGCATAGATTCTCTAAAGCCTCTGACAGCTCAAAAAATGCAGGGCATAACCTATCATTGGAAATCAGTTTTTCGGATAAATCCGAAAATCCGAAAAACGCTTCCCAGTAAATTTCTCGTCAATTCAAATTTACCCAGAAAATATGACATTTCGATGTTGCGACGACGCAATAAAAAGCTAAGGAGATGGCGTTTTACAGATAAGCTTCACGAGAGCAAAGGTCGGCGGTCCCGAGGAGATGCAACTTCACTTTCCCTCGAAATCTCAAACTACTGACAAAAGGGGTTTGCCCTTTAGCTCGTCGAAGTTCTTTTGGGACAATAGGGCACGGTACGCTGACTTTATTTATATTACTCGAAATGGAGAGCGTGTTGGTAAGGGTAATATAAGTACATAATAGGAAAAACATAAAACAGAAGGATGGCTTTGTCCGTTCTTGTGTTTTATGTCCTTCCCATTATACCCAAAATTATACCCTCCTTGCAATCACAAGTTTCGCAGGTTACGAAATCTAAAACTGGCATTTTTTCACCCTTTTTTTTTTCATTTCACACCGAAAGTTAGCTTACTCCTTATTTTCGCCCGATTTGCTTTCGATTTTAGGTGGGCCGTCTCCCGGGACGTTACGGCAACCTCCGAAACGTGATACGAAGAAAGCAAAACGCAGACAGGGGACAGAGAGAGCATGTACATGTTTGTCTCTGTACCCCGTTGGTGCTTTGCTTCCTTCGCATTGAGTATTTAACCCAACACGCTCGTGAAACTCGTCTGAAACATACCCGCCTGATTTCACGCAAAACAAACTCCGAAAACGGAATCCTACTCGTTGTGTTCACACTTCCTGCGCCGCGATTGGTTTGTCGGCGTTCTTGTCGGCAAACGCCGCAATCTCATTGATCATAGGGTGATGATTAGATGTGGGGACGTGCTGCACCCAGCGTTTCTTAAGCTGTCGGAGATCGCAGCCATAGCAACAGATTCTGGGAGCAGAAACGAAGACTCCTCGTAGTCGAGGCAACCGCCCTTACGTTGCGCCGCACCTTGATGACCAGGACAGGCCGTCAAACGCTGTCCTGCGGATGCCAACGGCTCGAGCCGCCACACTGCTAACAGACAGTCTCTCGAAACGACGAATAAGCTAACACTTCTAACCCAGAAACGCTACCGTAAACCGGTCTTAAGGGCGGAAATAGTCTCTCGTTGCTACTGGGATTGAACCAGTCGTATGATTGCGCGACACCGACGGTGCGTACACCGCCAAAATGCGACAACTCGCGTGGCTGCGCTCCGTTTTACAGATTACAAGCAATGCAGTCAGAAGCATGAAGTAGCCTTCAGATATGCGGGCAGTGGTAATTTAGAAAAGCACCGAAGGATATTTTCGGTTTGCACTCAATTAATGACGAAACCCCGTAATGTTCCCAAAGGTGCCGATGAAATCTCGAATATGCTTGAGAGCAACTTCGCCACTACCAGTGAAACAGGCTTAGGCTTATGAGCAGGGGCGGACTTGCAGACAGTCATCACCAACTAGCCCAACAACAAGTACTTTTACCAATAGGCAGCTGCCCAGGGCAGCAAAATTTTGGGGGCGGCCAATTTGTGGTCGTCCCCAAATTATTTGGCTCCTTTTTTTAAATCTAGCTCCAAATTTAGCTACTTTAGGAATTCTAGCTCCAAATGTAGCTACTTCTAAAAATGTGTACTCTAAACTTAGCTACTCCCCTGCAATACCCCCCCCCCCCCCCCCACTAACCCCCATCCCCATGGTCACTGACCATCAGAAGCGGGGGTTGGGGGGGGGGGGGGGGGGGGGCCAGTACTGAGGCCGCTTAGGGCAGCAAAATGCTAAGTCTGCCTCATGCTACGAGCAATGTACGTACTGGTGGCAGCATAATTAACACTGCCTGCCAATGAACCTAAAATTGTGAAGATGAAGATTTTGGGCATAAATTCTGCTCAACGCAGAGGCATGAGGTTTTGAAAAGTCTTTGGGCAACGAGCTATAATCAAACGCGAGGAAAATGAAAAAGATTCCTTGATGCTTGATTTTCTAGAAAAAATCTTCACAATCGTCATTTAACTTTCATGGCGAAAGTTCTTCAGGAGTATGAATAAAAGACAGAAAGAAACAAACATATTGTCTATAGTGTTTGGGGTTTTTCGGGGAATTACTTTACGAGAAAAAAAGCCGTCCAAAAGCTCTCGAAAAAAAACCCCTTTTCCGAGTCTCCCTATGGCGGCAAAAAATGACTATTTAAGTAAGCATCAAATTGCCTTCAGCATTCCTTTACAAACACCCACACAGAAAACAGCAAGCCACCGATAAGCTTACGGCACCGCAAGAAGTCATCGAGGTAAAAAATAGCCGTCCCAAAGGTCGTCATTAATATAAAGACTACGAGAACAAAACCTGCCTCTAAATTAAAAAAAAATAAAGCAAGGACTAGCATATATTCGGCAGCTAAAAGAATTAACATGAAACCCAAGGGGAGGGTATTGGCATCACCCACCAAGTATCAATATCTGGCCTCGATGCTATTGTGGCATAAGCTTGCGTGCGAGATGTTCTGTGCTAAATGTGGCATGTAAAGGACACAATTAAGAACTATGGATGGGAATCAGAAAGAAGTGATAACAACAGTCTTATGTCCCTTACCGCTATACAATTTAGCAAAGGCCCACTGCATTAACTTGCCAGGTACCTTCACACAAATATTTAGGCAACAAGAAATGTCTCGTGTTTTTTCACTAATCTCCCTAGCCTTGGGTTTTTGTTCCTTAGCTTCCCCAGTGTCGGAGGTCTTCTACATATGTTCAGTAAACGTTTTTTGCATTACACGACTAAAGGTGTAGAGAAAGTTTAGTTATAAGGTTGCGATATATATTTGGCAGGGCATGAAAGAGGTTCCACAAGCAGTCCACCTTTACGGCAGCCAAACTTTGGGTCATTGCCTTGAAACATGCCTCGAAGAAACAGCTTGAACAAAAAATGCTGCTTCCTAGGTTACGTGCCAGGCTTCACATTCATTACTTCGTTGGCACAAAATCAAACATTAGATACTAGTGCAAATAAGCTAGTAGCCTTCACTGTACTGCACATAGTATCAGAAATAAAGAATGGTTAAAATGGCCTTTCCTTTGCGTCAAGGAGGTGGCAGCCTTTATGGCTTTGCAGCTGAAACAACTCGCCTCCTAGAAAGAATCTAGCAGACCATAGCACTTCGCACAGTTTATAAAATTAACCTCACTAGAGTGACCCCTCTTCTCATCAGAAAAGCTAGCAGCCTTTAAGGCACTCTGCCAAAATGACTTATCACTCACCAAAAAGATGCTTAGTAGCATTCCCTTTCATTGCATTACACATACTGTAGTTGATAAAATGAAAGTAGCTCAAATAAGCTTTTTTTTTCACCCGGAGCTAGCTGGTACCCTTACAGCATTATACAACCAAAATGACTTTCTTCTCCAAAATAACCTAGCTGTCTTCACTGGGTTGCACACTGTCCATGGAACAGAGCGTAGCACGAAAAACAGTCCACCTTTGAAGGATGGATTATTACATATCCCCAAACAATAACTCCCGTATTCGCTTGCACAAATGCTTTTACGTAACTACTACTCTTTCCCAGAACCATTACATAATGAAACCGCCTACTTTCCCATATATTTACTTCAGACAATGCACTTGAATCAATTGAATGCCTTTTTGATGTGTAACTCTTGTTTTGGGCTTTTTGGTTCGCTGTATTATATTGGGTAATATATAACGTTTTGTCTAACTTGTTGTTTTTGTTTCCTGCACATCTCTTTATACTTTCCACCTGCACTGGTTCCCTTCTAGTATTGCAATGTACTGTAAAATACCGGGCAAGCGCCCACTCAAAATTTGAGATGGGCGCTTGTCCTGTCATAAATTTTACGTATCAATCTACTGTGCATATTTTCTCAGATCTTACAAATTTGGGTATGGGCGCTTAATGTGGAATGGGCGGATGCCCGGTATTCCACGGTATAACCTCTGATAACCTAGCTCCACATAAACGTTACATCCACTCCTGCTGGGGCAAAAATATTGGCCTGCAGTATACTGTAAATAAAAAAAGAAGCTGCAATGAACATAGCCCATCAAATGAAGCACAATCAAAAATATCTCGGCCCTCCCACAAGAAAGTAGACAGCCTTCATCACTGCAATGCACGTAGTACGCAAAACAGAGCGCAGTTGGAACAACGCGGCTCGGACCCGACGCCCGTTCCGCAAAGCCGTAGCAGCGCAATTATTGCCGCTGAAAATACAGCTTACTAGACAAGTAAAAAAAAAAAAGGAAGAAAGGTTGCAGTCGCTTCAGTGCCAGAGGTGCTACAACCCCCGGAAGGGAGCCGTGGAGATTGTAGAGCTCCACTGGGGGGATGGTCAGGTTGTGCTAGCGGTCTCCAGGCACGCAATGCAGAAGTCGCCAGGAAGACAGCACTTGTGGAAACAATGCCCTTTGTAGTAAAAAAAAGAAAAAGAAAAAAAAGAAAAGAAAAAAGGGCACAAAGAAAGAGACTTTAATGAGTTTATGAACATGCAAAGAAGGCAGTCGCAGACTATGCACACTTTGCTCTGCTTTGCGGGCTGTCGTCTAATTTCACAGCAGTTATGCGTAGAATAAACCAATATCGTCACAAACACTTCCATTATAAGCCGCAGCAACGGGTAGACTCGTTAAATGGGAACTTGTTGTCGACGTCATAAAAACATGTTGAACAAACAGAAAATGGGCCAGGATTTCATTGGACTTAGTTTAATGGGCATAATCGTATCAGAGGCGTTTGCTTAAAAGGAGTTTGACTGCATTACCGATAGACACACTAACAATAGTTGTTGCAAACGCAAGGAGAAAATACCAAATTTCGAGCGGGAGTTGGAATGTGCAAAATACGGGTTCACTTATGAGGGACTACTTTGATCGTGGACCCACTTCACCAAACTTCAGAGTTCCAAGCGCGCTACGCTCCAAAACTGCGGCAACGTTTTGAATGGGACTCTTGGCGAGGGGGTCTAAGTGAGCGAGGAGAGTGAGCAGTGGGACTCACCACAGTGGAACGCCACTACGGGATGGGCACCCTTTGTGGCACCCAACATTTGTGCACAGTGCGCACAAGTGGAGAGGAGAGGCACACTCCTCCCCCAGTGACTTTCGGGCTCCTCCACAAAGAGGCTCTGCATCTGCGAGGACGACGTCCCGCTCTTTCACATTTCCGGCACACTCTAACAGAAACACCTGGCGCATCCAATATCCAAGTGTCAGATATCCAATTATCCTGAGGAGAAGCTTACTGTTTGGGAGAATCCTCTCGCAGCAGTCTAACCCTTTGACAAATTTAGGAGACAATTTCTCCCATAGTGAAAGGGAGTCCATAGGGAGTTTATGCAGGAACTATATTTCCCCCTCTCTTTCCTTCTCAAAGGGTGAAGAGGGATAGATATGTTTAATGAGAATACAATTTCTCCCCAATAAAGAAAGGGTTTCTACGAGGAGCAATTCTCTCACAGGAAACTTCTATTATAGTAAAAAAAAAAACTCATAGCCATGTGCGAATAGTGAATTTTGAGTTCGAAGCGACTAGTGATTTTGGCCAAATATTTTTCAATAAAATACTGAATAGTTTCTCCTTCTTTTTCACTACTGCACCGTGCATGCTTAATTTAAACGAAAACCCAGATGAACTTGTGAAGATTGCTCTCAAGCTTCCACTTGTCCATTTCTAAGCTAATTTTAATCTAACTATATTTATGGACTGTAGCCTCAGAAAGTTCAATCCCTACATTGGTACAGCAAGTAAATGATGCATTCGACATAAAATTAAACCTCAAGAGATGCCCAGCTATACCTAATCAAGATTTATAAATCTTCCTGCTACATGCAAACCTTCTTCCTTAAATCTAGAATTTGGGCAAAAAAAAAAAAAAAAAAAAGACAATCATAGATGATGAATGCAGATTGTCAGGACATCTCTACATAACACATACTCTTGCATAATAGCCACAGTTTAATTTTGAAAATTTTACTGTAGTGTAGATATCAACATTTACAAAGTTCCCGTTTATTTTTAAATGCACACACATGTGCACCATCCCGCTTAAGTGTGCTTTTCTTCTAAGCACGCCCCAACTGCATTATTTGTACCTTTTTAAGTGATGACTGCAGTAAGTCAGCCCCTTTGAGCATACTTCTTACCGAGCATGGGTGCACCTAGAAGCAGCAACACCCGTGGAAGCGAGCTCCGCGGGTGTTGCTTCTCCGCAGTGCACCAGCGCTCGAGAAGAAGCGTGCTCAACAGGGCTAACCCACCGCGACCAACGCTTCGAAAAATATGAACATCGCAGTTCATCTCGAAGCGAATATCGAATAGAGTAATGTTTTAAACTACTATTCGAAAATTCGAATACCGTATTTACTCGCAGAATGAACACACTTTTTTTTCCGAAAAATCGATGCAAAGTTGGGGGGGGGGGGGGGGGGGGGGGGGGGCGTTCATTACGCGAAGTAAAATTTTTGCGTCCGTATTTACTCGCATATTGCACGGACCTTTTATCCCGAAAAATCGAACTTCTTACCTCTTTGCGCACGGCGCCCGACCCAGTAACCAAACTAAGCTGTGCAAAAAAAAAGACAAAAACTCATTTTTTCTTTTTCTTTTAGTTCCTTAAGTTTTTTTGTTTTTTTGCCGTCTTTCGCAAGCTGTTTTGTTTGCTTAGGCGTTGCCATGTTGCTTAGGCGAGGGCTCTCCGCTTATCTTTCTTATCTCCTTGCGCGCGGCGCGCGACCGCACGACCCCCCCTTACCAAACAGGGCTGTGCAAAAAAAAAAAAAAAAGGTTTTCTTTTTTTTTTTGTTTTTTTTTTTTCTCAGTTCCGTGGGTTGTATTATTTTTCTTTTTGCCGCCTTTCGAAAGCTGTTTCGTTTGCTTAGAGGGCTTCTCCGCTCTTTCTTACCTCCTTGAGCGCGCCGCGCGACCCCCATAACCAAACTGCGCTGTGCAAAAAAAAAAAAAAAAAAAAAAAAAAAAAGCTTCTTTTTGTTTTTGTTTTTTCTTAGTTCCGTGTTTTTTTTTTTCTTTTTGCCGCCTTCCGCAAGCTGTTTCGTTCGCTTTTAGAGTGCTTCTCCGCTTCTCTTTCCTACCTCCTTGCGCGCGGCGGTGCGCAAACCCAAAATCCAAACTGCGCTGTGCAAAAAAAAAAAAAAGCTCCTCTCCATGTTTTTTTTTTTCTTGCTTCCGTTGGATCCTTGCGAATTTTTTTAACGCCTTTTGCAAGGCGTTTTGTTCGCCCACGCTGCCCATGCATTTGCGACCTCGCTGCACCAGGATAGAAAAGTGCCTTCATCATTTCGCGCGCATGGGGGGAGGGGGTCAAAATCTTGACGTCCGAGTTGGGGGTGCGTTTATTACGCGAGTGAAAAAAAAAGTCGAAATTTTGAGAGCCGACTTGGGGGGTACGTTCATTACGCGAGTGCGTTCATTGTGCGAGTAAATACTATTCACACAACCCTAGAAGAGAGCATTCCGTAATGAAAAATTCTGTACATGGCAGCAAAAACGATTCCTTTAGAGAAGCTAAAAATGTACAATCCCATCTTCACAGAAGCTCTGGTACATGCACGTTGGACAAGCTATAACCAAAAACAAAAATGTGGCACATGCAAAGCTTGCGTTAGCATCCCACACTAAATGGTAAGACTAATACAGACCCAATAGAGGCAGCTTTCATTGCACATCGACCCCTAAGCGTCGATGCAAGGCAAACAGGAGAGCATTGCAGTCATGCAGGAATGGGTGAACTAGTATGAATCCCTTTTTTCAGGGTCCACTTTTCCAAGTTTTGAACAAACCAACCACTGCTCTATTTCAAACAAACTTCTACTTATATCTCTTTTTAAAAAAAGTAGTTTTTAGCAAAGTTAAAAGCCACAAAGGCCAAAAAAGAAAAAAAGAAAACAAGAAACAATTAAAAAAACAAAATGGAAAGGTGAGGAGAAGGAAACAAAAGCCTTAGAAGAAAAAAGCAGAGAGAAAAGACAAATCAAACAAAAGTGGAAATTATCTAACTGTATAAACTGTAGCTATAGTAAAAACTAAAAAATGGTAGAGTTAGGGAAGATGCCCCTTGCACATACTTTTTTCTTTTAATATTTAGGTTAGGAGGTGGAAACTTCTGCAGTTAGCGGAGACTGGATTCTTTTCTCATTTATTCACTCAGTTTTCTCATACTAGCTGCTCTAGTTGAGTATGGCATGCATAAAAAACACTCGTTTTGTGCACACAATTTGCCGTATTAATTATTAAGATAGAGCAGTCTAAATAGCCAAGTTGGCTCCCCACGAGCTACAGAGCGTGAACATTTAGTGCAATCCAGTATACCGGTTTGTTTTGTCTCTCTAAAGATAAAAGAAAAAATGATTGTCTCGGTGTTTTTGAAGCTTCACCTTTAGTTTAATAATTTTCCTACAAAACTTAGTAGTCATACTCCTCAGTAGGGTTTTGTGTTTTCGGATAAATCCGAAAAAATAAAAAAAAAACACTCGCCATTAAATTTTTTGTCCATTCAGATTTATCCGAAAAACTCTGAATTTCGAGGTCACAACGACAAAATAAAATGCAAAAAGATGGTGTTTTACAAATGAACTTTATAAGAGGACGGGGTCAGCGGTCCTGAGAAGAGGCTTCCTTTGAAATGTTGAGCTACAGTCTAAGCTTGTTATAACAGACCTTGATTTTGACCAAGATTTCGGTCTGTTATAAGAGGAGTATGTGGTGTGCAGATATGCAGTTGAGTCAATGGTACGTAGAGGAAAACCAACCAAACTTCACAAATCGGTATGTTATATCCAAATGTCTGTTGTAATGACCTTAGACTGTACCGACAAAAGGGTTTTGCCTTTTTTAGCTCGTCAAGTTTCTTTCAGGACCACGGGCCATGGCCCCAAACTTAATTTATTTTGTTTTTGAAATTTTAAAAATTGGGAACACCGTAAAATTAAGCTTGGAATTTCAAAGGACTGGAAATATAAGAAAACAAAAAAGAAAAGAACTCCGATGAACTCTTAATTTTTAGTGAAAGATAAAACTGACAAACACCCTCCGAATTTAACGATAAATAAAATCCGAAAACACGGTCCTCTACTAATAAATAACAAGATTGGCAGCACACTCTACTTATTCTCAGAAACTTCTGTACAAGATATCATCTGTGACACAACAACCGCCCTCGACCTTCAGTGTCCAACGTCTCCGTCGACCCACCTGAATGTTGGCAAGGTCCTCAAGGCCGGCGAGACCCTGCTTCTCGCGGCTGAGCAGGTCGGCCGCCTGAGGTGGCAACGTGACCAGACGCCGGGACCAGACGTAGCTCTCCAGCCGCGAGAGCATCCGGTGGCTCAGGGCCCTGAATTCACGAGCAGAGCGCGGACAATCAATCGAGATCGTGCCACACCCTCGAGAAGGGAACGTGGCATGGAAGATCGAGAAATTTCCATAAGGAGTGGGCTAACTTTCAATGCGTGATCGAGACATGTTAAAAAAAAATGCAAATTTTAGGTCATTTATTTCTGCCAAACTCGTTACTGCGGTGAGTGGCAGTGAAGCAAAGATGACTGTACTTCCCAAGCCGACAATGTTCGCTTATATCCCGCCATAGTAACTAGCCGCACTTAAACCGGCATCATCATTGATTCGAACAGTATGATTACCAGGAGCGGGCTACCTTTTGGTGTTTAAAAGAAAATAGCGAATCAAGCCAAAAATAGCGGGTGGGCTATCTTGGGATTTTACGGTAGACATCTCGAAAACCCGGGACAGAGACAAAAAGACTTTGATGTTGGAAGTTCACCAGCTTGCTTGCATCTGCTATTCCTATCAAAAGAATAGTTTCTCTCTCATTCCTCGGGCCTTCCAAGAACATTTTTTGCACAAACGTGGCTTGTCCGAATATTCTAAGACGTCATCTTAATTTCCCAAGGTTCCTCGTGATGGAAAAACATTAACTGAAGGGGGCCATGAAGCAATTTTATTACTTTTGCTAAATACCGCTCCAAGTTAATCTTGAAGATTTGTGACCCACCAAACGTAAATTAGGTTTGCTTTTTATGTACTACTAGCAGCTGCACAACAGCAGCTTTGAAGAAATTGTGGGAAGCAAAATGCATTGAGTGTGTTTTAGCATTTTAGTAATATTAGTCCCTTTTCAGGTGTATTCCTCTCGAAATTTTTGGGGGTTTTTGGATTTGTTTGAGAGGCAAAGACACACAGAATGCATTCTTAGTTTCTCAACTTCATGCAATGAACCAAAATAAGCTGCAAGTATTTTCCCATTAAATCACAATCTCCTCTGAAGTCACATGTGACCTCACATGCCTCATTTTAAGGGAAGGCTCAAGTTGTCTTCAGCATCCCCTAGAAGATTCTACCACCCCAAGGGTTTACACTTTCCAGGCTTACAAAATAAATCAACAAATTAAATGACTGACCAATAAATAAACAAACAAATCAACCAATCGAGCAATTACAAATAACAAACTCGTAGCTGCCACTGCTTGATCAATCAATTACAAATAACAAACTCGCTGCTGCTTCTGGTTGATGTACCAACCAATCAATCAATACCAAACTCATAGCAGCCACTGACTGATCAATCACAAACCCACAGCTGCTGCTGGCCAATAAATCAATCAGTCACAAATAAGGAACGCATAGCTGCTACTGGTTCATCAATCAATCAATATTATCAAACTCACAACTGCTGACCAATGAATGAATCAATCAATAAGTTAGAGACAGCAAACTCACAGCTGCTGTTGGTCAATCAGGGTGAGGAGCACGCTGGCAAAGAAGAACTCCGGACTCAGCGAGCCCCGGGGAAGGTCGAGGTCACGCAGTAGCGTCGTCGTCTGCTCGAAACCCACCGACTCCAGCATGCGTCGTGCCACGCTCTCCACCGTGATTGTCGTCACTGGCGCCGCCGGGGCGTCCGTCCCACTCCCCGCCAGCGTCTGCTCGCAGAACAGGCATGTCGGCAATCCAAAAGCACCGCCGCCGTGCTGCTTCTGCGCCAGTTCCACGGCCAGCCGCCACTCTTCCGACGAACCAGGCAGCAAACCTTCCGACGACAGAGACAAGATCGGGGTTCAGTCATCGGCAATCCAAGGTGCGTCTTCCTAGAGCCACTGAACAATTTATGCTTAGAGCAACAACAATTGCCTTGTGGGCGGCTCCATTTTTAGTGTGGAACATTCTTCGGCTAGGTGCTCGGCATTTTGTGAAGCCCAAAAGTAAAGCCTAGATAAAACCGACACCGATTGGTTGATGGGTAGGAGAGGAGTGAGGCGCTTGATGCTGATTGGTTCTTTGAGAGGTCATGTGACCAGAGAGGTAGGCAAGGAGGAGCTCGACCCCTGTGCGCACCAAAGGAGAGGAGCTTGAGAGTACGGAAGGCTCTGGAAGATCGCCAAGTTTATCAGCCCGACTAGTGGTAGTACAGTCGGACCCGTTTATAACTAACTCTGCCGGACGCAATAATTAGTTCGATATAGTGGGCAGTTCGTTATATCAAAACAGCCTTTTGGTCTCCTGCAAAAAAAGTCTATAATCTGGAAAAGACTAACTGTAATGATATTGGCGGCCTATAGATAGGGCAATAGGCAACTTTTGTAAAACAGTCAATTCCGCGAGAATGTCCTCTGGATTGAAGCATCTGTACTTGCAGGGGGAGGTGGAGATCATTCATCTTCCTGCTTAAGAAACGGTAAAATGTGTGCCGGTCTGGAACGAGCTCGAAATGTTTGGATATGCCTATGCTCTTCCGTCTGGGCTTAGAGTTGCATCCCACTAAAGAGACGCAATAAGATGCTGAAATCAAAAGAAAACTGTTGGACCGAGCACGAACATGTCATGCCTAATGCGGGCAGGAGCGCGGAACAAAAAAGAGCGGTGCTTACAGAAGCACTGCAACCTGAGAAGATCACTAGTCGAACAACAATGCACAGCGAGTGCCGCATGTGATTTAGCTTTTGTCACACCAGTGTAGACAAGCGGACTCGTGAATGATTGATTGATTGAGTTTTATTGGTGTAAAAGTGTCTAAGGCTATAGGGCACCAAAATCTGCTACTATTTCAAGAAATGGCTTTTAAAGAAAAGGGCTCTAGTGGTCAGTAATGGGATAAAAGGATGGGCATGAATCTGTATGTAAATAATGTAGATGAAAAATTTAAAAGTTGTAATAAAAGTCCAGTTCTTTCTAGATATATGAAAACATATGTATGATTTGTAAAAGGTTCATCTCCAAGCAGAAGAGCAAAGTGTAGAGGCATGTGTGGTGAGTAAAACTTGGCAAAGTGCAATTGGTGGTATCTGTGTTATGTGGGGCACTTAAGAAGTATATGCAGCACAGTTAATGGTTTTGAACAGTTTTCGCATGCAGGTGAATCCTCTCGGCAAAGCGGATACCCATGTGTTAGGTGTGTGGGGCCAATTCTTAACCAACAAAGGACAACCTCGAAGAAACGGTCCCTATGAAGGGCACTTGCCCACTCCGTAGCATTGGCTTCACAACATAAAGTTTGTTGTTGGTTTTGCGAGACCACTCCTCTTGCCATTTACACCCGATACTTTTCTTTACGGTCGCTTTGTAGTCTTGGTAGGGTAGGTCGTAAATATCAACCTTCCTTGTAGCACATGTGGAAGCGGCACGATCAGCAGCTTCATTGCCGATTACACCCACGTGACTAGGCACCCAGCAAAAGATTATCTGCCATATGTTTTCCCTAGCTGCAGCAACCACTTTGTGTTTCAGCCGAGCGATTAGAGGGTTTTTCGCTTCAAGGGATCTCAGCACTCTCAGTGCTCTTAGTGAATCAGTGCAAACCACAGAGTATGGAAGCCTATTTTTGATAATATGGTCTGTGGCCAATATTAAATCATAAAACTTGGCAGTCAAGATGGTTGCACTGGAATTAATCATCCGCACACACTTCTGCGATGATGCAATCACGGAACAGCCGACAGAGGAGTCGGTTTTTGTGCCGTCAGCATACAAGCTGGTGTAGTCTTTATGTGTATCTTGTAGCTGATAGAATGCCTGTTTTAAGACACCTGGTGGAGTATTTTCCTTAGAGTATTCAGTGAGTGACAAGTCTGTGATGAGTAGACTAGGCTCCCGTGGTGCCACTGTTCCCCAAAGCTGAGCAACAGGTGGGTTCATCTGAAGGCTAGCCGAGACAGCCGCGGTCTTGTTCCGCGATGAAAAGGGAGGCAGTGGGTTTACTTTGGAAGGTTTGTTCAGAACGTTTCCCCTCGATTAGTTCCAGACACGGATGTTGCAATAAAGACCGTATCCTAAGGGAATACATTGGACCTAGGGCAGCTCGCCTTTTCTCCGGGGTCATTTGATTAGCTTCAGCATAAAGACTCAACAAAGGGGATGTACAAAATGCATTGGTGACAAGGTAAATCCCTGTGTGATGGATTGGATCCAACATTTTCAGTGTTGATGCACTCACTGATCCATACACGAAACATCCATAATCTAGGCGTGACCATACAATAAACCTTTCAATTCTTAGCAGGCAAAAACGATCGGAACCCCAAGTCATGTGGGAGAGTACTCTCAGAATATTAAAGGACACACGCAAAGAAAAAAAACATTTTTTTAAACAGCTTAGATGGAAAAAGGATGTCATAAAACGATTTTACAACGAAGAAAAAAAAAATTAAGCGCTATATTTACGGCGCTATACAAATTTGTAGTTGGCGCCGCGGGAGCCGCCGCTGGTCACGTGGTAGGCCCGCACGCCGCTGCGCTCCGTCGCCGCCGCCGCAAAGTAACACTGCCGCCACACGCTGAGCGTTGTGCGAACGCCGCTTCAACGCGTTTCTCCACGCCGCCGTCGCCACCGCCGCACAAGTTCGTCTGCTTCGGGGCGCCGCCGCCGTCGTCTGACCGGCGCACAGGTCTATTACGTCTGCTTGCGCTTTTTCAGGAGTTTCCTTTGGGCTCATACTTCAAACAAAGATGAATAAGTTACTTTTAGACGCCATACGAAGCTTCCGAAAGAGTGCAAGCACCACGTGATAAATAAGGGCCAGTCACGTGATAAATAAAGGCCACTTTTCCTCGGCGCCGGCGGGCACCAACTACAAATTCGTATAGCGCCGTACATATAGCTCTAAAAATTTCTTTTCTTTGTTGTAATATCGTTTTATGACATCCTTTTTCCATCTAAGCTGTTTAAAAAAAAATGTTTTTTTCTTTTGCAGGTGTCCTTTAAGGGGTTTACGGCATTTTAGTTTTAACAATTTGATATGTTGGCTGAAAGAGAGCTTAGAGTCAAATATAAGCCCTGGAAACTTATACTCCATATTTTTATCTGAACTAGGGTGACCACCCGTCCCGCGAATCGCGGGACTGTCCTGCATTGAGGGCTCGTGTCCCACGTCCCGTGAGAAATTCCGAAATCTTCATAATGTCCCGCATTTCACACTGTTGTAAAATTCACTCTCAACTCATGGTGTTGCCGAACAACGGGGCACAGGGAAGCACGGAGGGTGATGGTAATCGTCTGAACCAAAATGGTACGCCATTTTCTATCCAAGCATTGCGGAAGCGATCATCGTTGCTGCAGAAGAACTGAAGCGCACGCGCCGTTGTGCATCTCCCTTTGGTTGGAAAATATTGTAAGAAAAATTGCTCACCAAAAGTTTCAATATAAAATATTGTAATTATTTTCAAATTGCTGTGTCAATGAAAAAGGATTGCTGTCGATTTTTTTTTTAGTGAAGACAGCCACACTCGCAATTGTCGAAAAAGAACATAATGTTAAAAATTTGTGTAGGACCATGTTGATAAAAGTAAGCGTTGACAGGCAACAATAATGCGAAAAAGATTTACTGTTTCTTATTTCCATCTGATGCATTGAGTTCTGATCAGTCGATTTTTATGTTTTCAACTTCACATTTAATTATGTGTTTGGCATTAAAATAATATATCACTGGGAGTGGAATTTATTAGAGCTTAATTTCTGCAATACAATTAGCAGGTGTATAAACAATGCAGGATAATAAATGTGTTAACAGAACCTCGGTTCTTTGTTTGTGTGCCAATAAATTTTCTCCCCCTCCTCCCCCCCCATTGCCCCGCATGTCCCGCATTTTGCTAGCAGGAAGGTGGTCACCCTAATCTGAACTGGTGCATTACATATGGTCAACGAAGGCATCGGCATCACATCACGTTTTCGTGAGAAACAAACACAAGCAGTTTTCTCGGTGGAGAACTTAAAACCGTTATTGTCAGAACATCTTGTCATATTATTAATAGTTAGTTGAACATGGCGCTCGCAGATAGAAAGGAAAAAGTGATTTGTAGGTCATCTACATACAGCAAATAGTGCAACTGATGACGGTATGGCAGGCGTGATAGAAGTGATTTTTATAACAGAGTAACCCTTAGGACACTGCCGTGCAGAACACTTACAGCGTCTGGGTTTCCAACGCAGGTGCTAACTGAAGTGGTAGGAACTCTGATAAAAAAAGTAAAAGGATGCGAAAAAGCTGCACGTGATATCAACAAAAAAAGAGTGGTTATGGTTCCATATATACACAGAATATCTCACAATCTCAAACAGGTATTGTAAGCAGTGAGAGAGTGCAGGCGAGCTGGTAATTAATCGACATCTTGTAAACCCTGAGATGGGGAACGATAAAAAAACGGACGAACCCAACAAAATCTCAAACACAGCTGAATTTTATTGATAAGAGCATACCAATAAATAGACTTTCACACAAAAGGAAAAGAGGAAGGGCAAAAATAACTCAAAAGCAAAAACAAGACGGCCAATGCGTTCACCCCAGACAGCCTGAACCACTCCCCGGCTCCAACAACTTTCGGAAAGGGAGCCGACCACCCGAACAACAACAACCCCACGGTCACCACATTTGGCGACCTCCAAACCGCTAAAGCCTAATCCCCATTTCCTACTCCAAGCAAACGCTTCCCGGTCCCCCCCCTTTCTCAAGGTTTACAAAGCTCCCCTCATACAAGCAAAAACTCTTTCATCTGATCACTGATAACCAAGGACGGCTGGCTCACACAACTCCTCCGCTC